AGCACCTGCAATGGAAGATTAGTAAAGATAACCTGCGGTAAAAGATCCTGGACTTCCTGTCTAGACTCTAGTTGATGAGCAATTCTCCAGCGGACTTAGCACACAAGCTGATGATATGCTCCAGGCTGGCCAAGCCTCCAAAACTTGCAATGCAGTCGTGTGTAGCCTTTGCAGCTGCACGGAACCTTTGCCCGCTGGCCAATTGAGTCCAGAGCGGTATGGACAATGTGTGTGACTGACAATCAACCCAAAAACAAAGTCGAAAAGAGAAGTGAATTCGAAGACTGGAGAATACAACCAAGTAGCTACAGTATTTATACCCAAATCCAGTCTGAGTCATATCTACAACTAATGAGTCATAGGGCTATGTACCGCATGGAGCACTGGTCATGGGTTGTGGTAGAACCTTCCGGAGCATATGTCGCGCAGCCTTGAATCAATAAGAATAACCCCTGGAACCCCTAGCCCGGACCGTCTGATGCCGTGATCCATGATAAGATAATCCGTGTCAAGATAAGATGAGATCGTCGAGGATAAGATGAAAAAGAGTTGAATTATGACATTACCCCCTCTCTAGGGTCGATGTCCTCATTGACTAGGCCAATGGGAGTGAAGACGTTCTCGTAAGGATCGAAGAGTTGTTGCTGGGGATATGGAAGGCGCTCGTCTTTGGGTTTGTAGCGATGGATGAGATAATCCCAGTGTCCGGCTTCGAGCGTTGGCAGGAGGCGAATGCGTGTGTCCGGGTTGGATTGTTTCCTCTGCCAATCTCTCAGGACCTTCTTTGCGTGGCTCAGGTGACGTGATGGTTCCCAAGTATTTTCGCTATGCGGCCAGCCCTTCCATTTGACCAAGTACTGTTTTCCTTGGCCGATGTTTCGCTCTTTCACGATCTCTTCGACTTCCCACTCCTCTGCTCCTCCGATCATCTTGGCTATGGGCCTCTTCTCTCAGCGATGGGGGGTGGTTTGTGGTATGGTGTCAATAGTGACTCGTTGAACACCGGGTGTCTTCGGTCCGTGTCCGGCAAGTCCAGCTTCCATGTGGCCGCTCCAACCTTCTCCAGTATCTCGTATGGTCCTAATCTCTTGTCGCTCATCTTCTTTGATGGTCTATCCGTCTCGATATTTTCCCCTTCTATGTACACCTTCATCCCAACCTTCAACTCTGGAACTTCTTTTCTTTGTTTATCGTAGTATTTTTTCATTTTTTCATTTGCTTTTTCCAATGCTGCTTTTGCTTCGTCTTGTATTTCTTTGATTCTTTTTACAAACTCCTCCGCCGACTCGTTCCTCGATTCCATCCGTTGTTCCACTCCCTTCCATGGGTGATATCTGTGATTGGCATAGAACAGTGATATTTTGGTAGACGTGTTTATCTTGTTGTTGTATGCAAACTCCGCCATTCCCAGCCACTCCAACCAGTCTGTCTAATAGTAATTGACGTAGATGCGGAGATAGTGCTCGATCTCCTGATTCATGCGTTCCGTTTGTCCATCCGTGATTGGGTGGTATGCGGTCCCAGGGTTCATTTCCACGCCCAACATCCAATTTGTCTCCCTCATGAAGCCTTTGATGTAACGCGAATCCCTGTTGGTGATGATCTTGCGGGGGATCCCGTGGTAGCGGAAGACTCGGTCCCTGGTTAATCGTGCAACTCCTTCACTACTGATGTCAGTACTAATTGGTTTGACATGGATCATTTTGGTAAAGGTGTCACACCACACATGAATTGCGTCATACCCATTACTGACCGGTAGGGGTCCAATTTGATCCATGGAGATGATTTCCCATGGCGCATTTGGGACTGCATGCGGGTGCAGAGTCCCTGTCCTTGCTCTCCTGGTCTTCGTCTGTTGGCACGCCTCGCACATCTGGATGTATTTTCAAATCTGATTTCCCATCCTTGGCCACCAGTAGTTCCTTTCCACCATTTCCTGCGTTCAATTGATCCCAGCGTGTCCGACCAAGGGTGTGTTGTGGTGTAGCCCAATGATCTTGTCTTGCAGTTCCTTGTCCCTCGGTACGTAGAGCTTCCCATAGTATGTGATGAGCCCGTCTTCCTTTTTCCATCCAGCGAGTGACTTCTTCAAGGCCGCCTTGACGCTTCCATCAATCGATCAAGTGGCCCTGATCTCATCAACTAGCTGCTGATCTTGTCCCTCAAATGTGACTTCTTGCGATCGGAAGAACTCGGGCTTCAGTAGGGTGACGTCCTTGTTGTCGTTCTTGCCCTGATTGTGATCCGCTCGTCAAGATAAGAGATCTGCCTTGCGGTTGAGTGCGCCGGGCCGGTGTCGTAGGGTGAAATCAAACTCCGCCAACTCCGTGATCCATCGTGCTTGCCGTCGATTGAGCTTCTGCGGCTTCCGAAAGTACTCAAGATTCTGATGATCGGTGAAGATCTCAAACATTTCCGTGGCTCCCAGGAGCAACTGCCTCCATTCGTCAAGCGATAACATGATTGCAAGCATTTCCTTGTCGTAGATCTCATAATTTCGCTCGGTTTCAGTCAATGCGTGCAAAATAAATGCGATTGGGCGCCAAATGCCGTCTTGGTTTTGGCTCAAAACGGATCCTGTTGCCCCTTCCAAAGCATCGGCTTCCAGACGATATTGGCCAGTGTCGTTTGGCAGTCCTAAGACCGCATCCTCCGCGATTCTCTTCTTCAACCCATCAAATGCTGCACGCTCATCCGTACCCTATGACCATCCTGCTTTCCCTGTCAGTCGTGTCAACGGCTTGGCGACCTCCGCATATCCCCGGACAAAATGTCGATAAAAGTTTGTAAACCCTAGAAACGCTTGGACTTGTTTGACGCTCTTTGGTTCCGGCCATTCCATCACGCCCTTGATCTTGACTGGGTCCATCCGCATCAAATTGTGTCCAATAATTACACCCAAATATTCGATTTCCGTGTGTTCGAACTCGCACTTTTCGGGCTTCAGGTATAACTTGTGTTTCTGGAGCAATTCGAGCACTCGTTTCGTGATCCGCCGATGTTCGTCCAAGTTCTCTGTGAAGATCAGTATATCGTCCAGATAGACTACCACATGACCCTCGTTGATCAACTCTCGGAGTATGTCGTTCATCATGTTTTGAAACGTTGCCGGGGAATTTGTGAGACCAAAGAACATAACTAAGGGCTCGTACAGCCCTTGGTTCGTGCGGAATGCAGCCTTCCACTCGTCACCCTCTTTGATCCGTACATTGTTATATCCCCACCGGATGTCGAGCTTGGTGAAGAACTTTGCGCCGCATAGATTATGGACCAGTTCGGAGATCAGCGGCAGCAGGTATCGATTTCGGATTTGTTGGTGATGGGTTTTGGACTTGATCACTCTCTAGTGATTGGGTCACATGATCACCTGATTCTATCTAATCCTATCACTGATGATATCTGATTCCATCACTGTTCCCATCATTCCATCATCCTGGTCACATGATTCCTATACAGTCACATGCTCCATCCACATAGATAGTTCCTCCCTCCCTGGAGTTCTTCAGCTTCTTACTGTTGACTCCAGGTCTGTAGATTCTTTTCTTGTCTTGTCTTGCAATGCAGAGCTTCTTACTGTTGACTCCAGTCCTCTCTGCATTTCCTGCTTCAACAGGATTGTCATCTCATTCAGCTTCCGATAATCTTGGACGGGGCGTAGAGAGCCATCCTTCTTCTTGACAAAGAAGAATGCTGATGCCATGGGTAATTTTGATGGCCTGATCCGTCCACTGGCCAGGTTCTCTTGTAAGAATTTGTCGAGTTTGACTTGTTCATTGCGTGATAACGGGTACATCTTGCAGTCCACTGCTTTGGAACCAGGTTTGAGCTCAATCGCATGATCCCATGCCCATCGGTCCGGTAGTGAGTCAAACAATTCCTTGCCGAATACCTTGACAAATTCCCGATATTGATCCGGAATCTTTCCCTTGGTCATTCTCTCTTTCTCCTTTTCTGCTTCTTCTGTGAATTTCTGCGCCGGCGTTTCCTTCAGCCGTAGGTCCACTTCCTTCCCAAAATCGACCAACAGGATCGATTCTCCCTCTTCCAGATCTGGTGTGCCCGTGTCCAGGTCGATTGCATCCATGTCAATCATTGCTTGATGTTCCTCGTGACCCCTCATGTGACACCGCTCTGGGCATCAGCTGAATCTCATGGTCTGCTCCTGCCAATCCACCTCGGGGTTGTGTTCCATCAGCCAATCAAGACCGATGAAGATCCGGGCTTTCCCTAAGCATGTCAGAAGGAACGTGCGTGTCTCCACATGAGGACCGATTCTCATCCTCAGATCAACGTAGTGCGTGATCTGGCCACTGATGTCCTTGGTGTTGTTGGCATTACGAGCCACAATGGGTTGTGGAAGCTCTTGGATATCCAACTTCTCCGCCCGTGCGTAGTCGGTATTGATACAGCAGGTACTGCAGCCGCTATCGAGCAGTGCCTTGACTCCGCGCGTTTTCCCTGAGTCCAGACCCGTGATCTGGACATATACGTCCATCGAATGCCTCTTCCTTTCGGCCTGGTAACTGCACAATTCCCGTGCCAACCTGCTGGGCTGGGGGCCCTTCTGTTTCTTGGCTGCCAATTTCCTCTGGATGGCATCTGGCACCCTGGTGCGTTTGGGTGCTTCTGGAACCTTGATTTCGGCAGATTCCTTAGGCGCTTCCTCCTTTTCCAAGGATTGAGCCTTCGGAGCGATGCTCCCCTTTTTGGTCTTTGTTGATGTGGTCCCTTCTCCACAAGCCATAAATACGTATGAATCCAAAATTAATTTATCTGCAGCTTTCTGGTCCTTTTTACTTTGTAAATACTCTCTATTTAAAGCTATTTTTCTTTGGCGTTCTTTTTCCATATCAGCAATGAGAAAATCGTGAATATTGGTACGTAGTGAGTCCGAGATTGTATATGTATGTGCGAATTGTTCATGTCTTTAATTGAAACAAGTACAGAAAATTGTCCATAGTCCGGACGCTCCACCTCCTTGGCTAGAGGAGTGGAGCGCTTCAAAAACCCTTCTTGCGCAGCTTCTCGGCGATCTCCTTGAGGAACTCGTTGTCCTTGTCCCCATTCTCAATTTCTTCAAGCATCGTGGCCCGATTGAAGAATGTGCGCTTCTTTCTTGGTTCCGGACAGTTCCGCGCAATGTGTCCGGGCTGCTGACAGTTGTAGCAGATGATATTGCGGCCGCGGGCATGGGTGCAATCGATTTCCATTGGGACCGGTTCGTTGGCAGCCGGCCGGGTCAGAGCGGGTGCAGGCGTTGTTGGGGCTACCTGCGGGCGGAATTGGGGAGGCGGTCGTGGTGCAGAGTGCACATGCGATGCTTTGCGCAGCTGATTGCGTAGAGCGTTTGCCTCAATGTTGACACACCAGTCCTTGAAGGCACCATACGCCTTGGGCAGAGGGACACCAGTGTTGTAAAGGCGACTTGCAATCTCGCTGCTCAACCCGCGCTCGAGGAACTCGATGAGGATGTTGTCCTGATCCCCCTTCTTGTACTCGCCCTTGTCATTGGTCGAGGTGACCACGTTGTACCCCGCATCCGCAGCCAGCATCTTGAAGTCAGAGATATAATCCGCAAAGGATCGTCTATTCTGGCGTAGAGCCATAAGTCGAGCGGCGGCAACTTGCTCCGCGTTGGAATCCCCAAAGGCCCTCTGAAGCTCCTCCAAGAAGGTCGCCGAGGTGACCCCAGCTTTCAGTCCATTGAGGCTTTTGAAGTTGCGCTGTTTCCAGTTCATTGCCCATCTCGAGGCAGCGCAGCTCGTGCCAGCCTCGTTGCGGAGGTACGAGAGGATGAAGAGAATTTTTGTCTTGTCCTGCAAGAATTCCGACTGATAGGCACCAATGTAGGTGGTGCATGAGTCCACAAAGCCCATATATCTGGACTTGTCCCCATTGAAGTAGGGGGGGTTGGCGGCAAGGGTGATGCGGTGATGTCCTGACATGGTACGAGCAGGTGTAGTAGGTGGGGGTGAAGGTGGTTGTTCAGAGGGCAGTTCGCCGAGGTCGGGGATCTCGTCTTCAGGCGGCGGGAGGGCAAGATAGGGGTTGGAGGGTCCGGGTTTGTTTTGATGCGCCAGATTGGGCGACGATAGTAGGATGGGAGGAGGGGATGGACTCCCAGACGACAATGGGAATCGGTACGAAATGGTGAATTTGTGTGCTGTACAAGCACTCGAGGGAGGGTTCTTTTGCTAGCAAAAAGATCCCGGGCCTAGCTCTTTACGTGCCCGATGATCCTGAGGTGCGTTTTCCCGAAGGTCTCCACAGCACTCCTTGTTGGAGTATGGGCCCCAAGCACTATCGGCAGAATAGCTCAGTTGGTTAGAGCACTGGTTGCACTTATCAGAGGTCCCAGGTTCAATTCCTGGTTCAGCCATTTTACCAACATGGTAGCAGCAACTCACAGACAATATGCCAGCCTGGAACACATCTGCGTGAACCACTGCATCGTCTGGCTATTGTCAGGGGAACCCCCGCTTTGGACTGCTCTGCCTTCAATCAGGCATGTGATTGCGCTCGCGTGACCTGTCAGCTGTCACGTGCCGCGGCCCGGACTGCCACGCCGAGCGCTTCTCTCTGATGGGCACATGGTCAGGTGTCCCATTGTTCCCACTGTCTCGGTTTCCTATTGTTCTCCAATGGCCATTGTTCTTTGTTTGTCGCTGCGCGCTCTATTATTCTTGTATCATATAAATAGTGGCACCTGGCAAGGAGAATCCCCAACACGGTTTCTCTTCGGATTCTCCCTTGCCAGGTATGCCGGTCTTGTACCTAGCTACCACTATTGACACTTTGGATTCTCCCTTGCCAGAACTCTGAGATTGGGTCTCGAGGTTGCCCTTACAGCAGAAACCGTGTTCCTAGGGATAACTGGACAAGATTGCGAGGTTCGACGCTGACGCCAGTGGAGAAGAGTCGACGAGCGACCAAGACCACCACTCCCTCACCTCCTATCTTGCCCCCTCCTCCCCTCCACGAGCAGACCCGATGAGCATGGATGACAACGAACAGCAGCGGCTGTCTGCTCTGGAGACCAGCATACAGAACATTGAGGCCGTACTCACCCACCTCATCTCTCAACAACAACAACCCCCTGCCCCTGCCCCTGCTCCAGCTCCGGCAGCGGGTCCAGGTGTTTCTACTGGCGCCAGCCCTGCGCGCCCCCTTATCCGTTCAAATTCTCCCTTCTCCTTCGATGGGGATCGCACCCTGGGCAAGAGCTTCTTGCATTCAGTGAAGCAGTACTGGCGTCTGCTTCCTGAGGCGTTCTTTGTGAATGGGGCAGTCTCGGAAGAAAAGGTAGTCCGCTTTGCCCTGTCCTACATGTCCAAGGACTCCGCGGCCTCCTGGTCCGAGCGCATGTCCGAGCGGACCCCATTCCCGTTCCCTACCTGGGCTCTCTTCGTCACCAAGTTCAAGCTCCGATTCGTCGAGGAGAACGAGCAAGACCACGCCCTGGCGCAACTGGAGACCCATCTGTACTATATGGGCTCCCGTGATGTGTTCAAGTACACGGACGAATACGACGACCTCCTTGATCTCGCCGGCTACACCGACAATCTGGTCAAGGTGACCAAATATAGGACGGGCCTGGATCCGAAGATCAACCAGGCTATCACCACCTCTGGCAACCCTCCCAGGCTTACTGACTACGCCGAGTGGCGTGTCCGTGCGTTCCGGCAGTACAATGCAGAACAAGCTGCCAAGGCGTCTCGAGGCCACGTCCCTCCCCCCCGAGCGCCTCCTATCGTCCCTTGTCCTCGTGCCCCGGTGCTCCCTGCTGTAGCGCCGGCAATTGCTGCTCGCCCGGCGCCAGCTCCTGTTGCCCACCCCATCCCCATGGAGTTGGATCAGACCCGGCTCCGCGGTGACGTTTGCCGCACCTGCTTCCGCTGCGGCAGTCCGGGCCATCTTGCCCGTGACTGCCCCACCCCAGCTGACATACATCACACTAATGTCCTTGATGAGGTCATCAATCAGCTGGGGAGTGATCTGCTTTCCGAGTTGGTTGCTCGGGTAGCGACCACTGCAGCCGTTGCGGATCATGCGTCCAACGTCGCAGCTGAGGAGAAGCAGGGTTTTCTCCCCAGCGACGAGTGAGTAGTACGCCCTCGTTCGCTTCACGTAATTGTTTCTCCTGTTTGTATGATGAATCCAATTCCCTCCACTCTGCAACAGTTGAAGCAATAGACGTACACCCTGCTCCCCCTCTAATCCCACGAGTCCGTAAGGAGAAGTGGGAATGCAAGCTCCTTTCCTGCTATGTTGCTGCCGCCTCTCCCAGGGCCAATTCTCTCCACCTTCCCCTCGAGATCGAGTCCACCGACAACGCAGTGAAGTTATCTCTCAAAGGCCTGGTCGATTGTGGTGCCACATCCGACTTCATCGACTCGGCCTACGTCCTCGAAAATCACCTCCCCGTTCGTCACCTCACCCAGCCTATCCCCGTTTACAACGTGGACGGCACGCCAAACGAGGCCGGTTCCATTCGCGAAGTTGCTGATGTGGTTCCCCGTTACCAGGGCCACAGTGAACGTGTGCAGCTTGCTGTCACCCGTTTAGGCAAGCAGCAGCTCATTCTAGGGTACTCCTGGCTCCGGAAGCACAACCCGGAGATCAACTGGGATACCCAGGAGGTAAAGATGAGCCGTTGCCCTTCCGGTTGCTCCACCTGCCGGGAGGAACTTTGCGAAGAACGTCGATCTGCCAGAACCGCGGCCCGGGTGCTTCGCACCATCAGACAAGGTCCGGTTCCATCCATCTGCGCTGTCAACGTTGAGGACCACGAGGACGAAAGAACTCTGCACCTCCTCGGGATACCATCCCCGAGTGGGCCCGCGAGTTCGAAGATGTTTTCAGCAAGGAGTCCTTCGACAACCTGCCAGAGCGACGCCCCTGGGATCATGCCATTGAACTGGTTCCTGACGCGAAGCCGACCAACTGTAAGGTCTACCCCATCTCCCCTCTTGAACAGAAGCAGCTTGACAGCTTCATTGAGGAGGGCATGGCTACTGGCAGGATTCGGTCGTCAAAATCGCCCATGGCATCTCCCGTCTTCTTCGTGAAGAAGAAAGACAGCAGCTTACGGTTTGTCCAAGATTACCGAGCACTAAACGCGATGACAGTGAAGAACCGCTACCTGCTTCCCCTGATCAATGATCTCCTCAACAAGCTCAAGGGAGCTCGGTTCTTCACCAAACTTGACGTTTGCTGGGGCTTCAACAACGTATGCATTCGTCAAGGCGACGAGTGGAAGGCAGCGTTTCAGACAAACCGCGGGCTCTTTGAGCCGTTGGTGATGTATTTTGGCCTGACCAATTCCCCCGCAACGTTCCAGACGATGATAAATGACATACTTCAGGACCTCATCCTCTCTGGCGATGTTATGGTGTACCTCGACGACATTCTCATTGCACATTCCGATATCCATTGTCACCGGGAAATCGTGAACGAAGTCCTCCGACGTCTCCGCAAGAACAAGCTCTACCTTCGCGCGGAGAAATGCGAGTTCGAGATGCCGTCGATCGAATACCTCAGGGTAATCATTTCCCACAACCATGTGGAGATGGACCCGGTCAAGGTCGCAGGTGTGGCGGAGTGGCCAGCTCCGGCTAACAAGAAGGAAGTGCAGCAGTTCCTCGGCTTCACTAACTTCTACCGGAGGTTCATCTGGGATTTTTCGCACGTTGCCCATCCTCTTCTTGACCTCACCAAGAAGGACGTAGCATGGACTTGGGGCGCCAATGAGGCAGCTGCGTTTCTTATGCTGAAGAACGCTGTTACCTCTACCCCAGTCCTGCAGCTCCCGGATGCTTCCAGGTCTTACCGCCTCGAAGCAGACAGTTCGGACTTTGCGACCAGTGCCATCATCTCGCAGCAGTCCCCCGTGGATAACAAGTGGCATCCGGTTGCCTTCTTCTCGAAGAGTCTTAACAAGGTCCAGCGGAACTACGAAATCCACGACAAGGAGATGCTTGCCATCGTCCGCGCCTTGGAGAAGTGGCGACACTTCCTTGAGGGCACCGAGCACCCCATTGAGATCTGGACCGACCACAAAAATCTGGAGTACTTCCAGAAGACTCAGAATCTCAACCGTCGTCAAGCCCGCTGGTCCCTTTATCTGTCTCGCTTCGACTTCACCCTGCACCACCAACCTGGCCGCCTCATGGGCCACCCGGATGCTCTCTCACGCCGCCCCGACCACGGAGTCGCTTCGGACAACGCAGACGTCACACTGCTGCGCCCGGAGCTGTTCCATGTCTGGGCCTTGGAGGGTCTCACTGTCTCTGGACCCGAAGCCCCTCTCCTGCGCGACATCCGGGAGGCCCTCACCGGTACCCTCGACCTGGAGGAGCCCATTGTGTTGGCAGCACGTGAGCTCCTCAAGGAACGCGGAGTTTGCTCTGCTCGGGCTGCGGAGTGGCGAAAAGAAGGCGGCCTGCTCTACTTCCGTGGCAAGCTGGTGGTTCCACGCAACAACGACCTCCGCCGACGCATCCTCGAGCAGCACCACGACACCCGCGTCGCAGGGCATGCTGGCCGCTTCAAGACGTTGGAGCTGATCTCTCGGAACTACTGGTGGCCCCAGTTGTCTCGACACGTCGGCCGGTATGTGGCCACCTGCGACCTGTGCTGCCGAACCAAGGCGCTCCGCCAACTCCCAATCGGGGAACTCCATCCCACGGAGGTCCCTTTGGAGCGCTGGGAAGCGGTGTTGGTTGACTTCATTGTGCATCTGCCAGACGCTCACGGGTATGATGCTATCATAGTCGTTGTTGACATGCTTGGGAAGCGCAGCCACTTTATAGAGTGCCACACCCGGCTCTCCGGTGAAGGTGCCGCCAGGCTTTTCTACAAGAACATCTGGCGCCACCATGGGCTGCCGTCTAAGTATGTCTCTGACCGTGGCTCCCAGTTCATAGCAGAGTTCACGCAGGAGCTGTGGAAACTGGTCGGGGTCTCATCTGCAATGTCTACGGCTTGGCATCCACAGACGGACAGCCAGACCGAGCGTGTGAACCAGGAGCTTGAGCAGTTCCTCCGGATCTTCACCAGCTACAACCAGGACGACTGGGACGAGCTGCTTCCCGCTGCAGAGTTTGCCTACAACAACCATATTCACTCATCCACGCAGCAGGTCCCGTTCATGACAGATACCGGTCAACTCCCTCGTATGGGCTTCGAACCGAATGGACTACGCTCAGCTGTGAACGAGTCGGCAAACGACTTCCGCGACCGCATCGCGTCCGGAGTGGCAGAAACCAAGTTGACACTGGTGAAGGCAAAGGATGAGTACAAGCAGTACTACGACCGCCGGAGGGTCTCGGCTCCAGACATCAAGGTCGGAGATCGAGTCTGGCTTGACGCTTCTGACATAGCAACAACGCGCCTGTCCCTCAAACTCTCTCACCGACGGCTGGGTCCCTTCAAAGTCACCCAGGTTGTTGGGCGCGGCACTTACAAGCTTGACCTCCCTCGCCGCCTCTCTGGTCTTCACCCGGTCTTCCCCGTTGTCAAGCTGCAGCTTGTTGAGGACGACCCGTTCCCAACACGCCCGGCTCGTAAGGAGCCGCCACCTGTCATGGGCCAAGGAGCTGGCAAGGAGTGGGAAGTCGAAGAGGTTCTGGATGCCAAGATGCACTATCGGAGCATTTGGTACTTCGTGCGGTGAAAGGGCTACGATTCGTCGCACGACCAATGGGTTAAGCACTCTGATATCTTCGCAGAGGACGCTATAGCGGCATTCTACCGCAAGCACCCCAACAAGCCACGCATCATTGCCGCCGCCATCTTCGACTCCCTTCCGTTCCAGCACCCCTCTGCCACCATCCGCACGTTGCGTCGAGGCGCCGCAATGTTGAAGCAGGAAATGCAGAGAGGACTGGAGTCAACAGTAAGAAGCTCTGCATTGCAAGACAAGAAAAGAATCTACAGACCTGGAGTCAACAGTAAGAAGCTGAAGAACTCCAGGGAGGGAGGAACTATCTATGTGGATGGAGCATGTGACTGTACAGGAATCATGTGATCAGAAGTCATGTGACCAGAATGATGGAATGATGGGAACAGTGATGGAATCAGATATCATCAGTGATGGGATCAGTGATCATGTGACCCAATCACCAGAGAGTGATCAAGTCCAAAACCCATCCTCAACACGCAATCCAAGGGGGGGTGATGTCAAGGGAACCCCCGCTTCGGACCGCTCTGCCTTCGATTAGGCATGTGATTGCGCTCGCGTGACCTGTCAGCTGTCACGTGCCGCGGCCCGGACTGCCACGCCGAGCGCTTCTCTCTGATGGGCACATGGTCAGGTGTCCCATTGTTCCCACTGTCTCGGTTTCCTATTGTTCTCCAATGGCCATTGTACTTATTGTTCCTATTGTTCTTTGTTTGTCGCTGCGCGCTCTATTATTCTTGTATCATATAAATAGTGGCGCCTGGCAAGGAGAATCCCCAACACGGTTTCTCTTTGGATTCTCCCTTGCCAGGTATGCCAGTCTTGTACCTAGCTACCACTATTGACACTTTGGATTCTCCCTTGCCAGAACTCTGAGATCAGGTCTCGAGGTTGCCCTTACAGCTATACCGGTAAATGGTGCCAACCCTGGTTTCCCTCTGCCTGAGTGCATGGATCCCGGGGGAGTGTTGGAGTATGAGCCCCAAGCACTATCGGCAGAATAGCTCAGTTGGCTAGAGCACTGGTTGCACTTATCAGAGGTCCCAGGTTCAATTCCTGGTTCAGCCATTTTACCAACACTCCTTGTAGCTACCGTAAGGCTTGGGTCAGGCTCAACGTTACCCGTGGCCTGGTGCTGTTTGCTCGAGATAAACCCTTCACTGCGATCGCAGAGAACGACTAGATGATTTGGTAAAAGGGTAAGTGGATTGACAAGGGTGAAGAGGATGTAGCGGGCGTAGCGGTGAGAGGTGCAGGGTAGGAGGTAAGAGTTACGAGGGTATGAGAGGAGTCTTCAAATTATGTGACAATCAACCCAAAAACAAAGTTGAAAAGAAAAGTGAATTCGAAGACTGGAGAATACAACCAAGTAGCTACAGTATTTATACCCAAATCCAGTCTGAGTCATATCTACAACTAATGAGTCATAGGGCTATGTACCGCATGGAGCACTGGTCATGGGTTGTAGTAGAACCTTCCGGAGCATATGTCGCGCAGCCTTGAATCAATAAGAATAACCCCTGGAACCCCTAGCCCGGACCGTCTGATGCCGTGATCCATGATAAAATAATCCGTGTCAAGATAAGATGAGATCGTCGAGGATAAGATGAAAAAGAGTCAAATTATGACAATGTGCTCTGAAACGCGTCAGTAAAGCGAATCGGACATGCAGTGAGGAGCGCACCAAAGTGCATTTGTCTCAACACGCTATACAACTTTAGCCAGATCAATGCGTATCTGTATCGCTTGCATTGGCGGTACTCTCTTTGCCGGCATTGGAAGTGGATGGCATGACCGGCCTTCACACAAGCAAGGGAAAAGAGATCGAACGATGTGAGCAAACCAGTGAGGTAGTCTTTGAGCGTTGTCTCAGGGATGGCGACGACCATATACACCCATCCGTGTTCGTCCTTTGCGTACGTTTTGAGAAGCAGAGAGGGGGATATAACGTCAAGATTGACTTGTGTCCTGCACCCAAGGTAAGCATCTGGTATCAAAGAGGCCAGAGGCCTTAACCACTCACATGCCCCCAGTTCTGCAACTGTGCAGACAGTGCACAATCTTCTTTTGCACAGAGGTTGAGACAGGCATGGAGATGAAAGCATTGGAAGCATTGGGCGATGTAGCTGAGTGCAAGTACCTGTTTGTCTCAATAGTTTGATCTCATCGAGCTCAGACTCAGTCCCCCTTCCGCATTCTTGCTTCGATATTGTGCTCTGTACAGAGCAGATTGATAGCTTCAGCACGCTTGTGGGCCAGGATTCTGCTCTCTTCTGCTTGCTACCTGGGAGCATCATATGTACTCCTGGTATGGCGTTGTTTCGAATCATGTTGCCAAGCAGTAGACCAGCTCTTGCATGTTTGAGGGGACAAGCGCGTAGATACAAGCTTCAAGTTCAGGATGGCGGGCCAGACAGTTATTTCGAGAATGAGTCTAGCCAGCAGCATAGAGAATGAGGACAGGTAATTCAGCTCGACGTTATCTGGTAGATCTGAGACATGAAAGGCAGGCAATAGTGGGGAAGTTGACAAGGCTGAGGCCGCAGTAGCTATTGGCTGACTTAGAGCAAGCAGTGTGATTGATCAGTACACTATACAGCAATGTGCCGACTGTCAGACTGATGCGAGCTGAGTCATTTCACGTGACTACGCTATTAATGCAAGTCGCGGGTCATCTTGCCTCAAGTACATAGGCCACCAGGTGCCTCCACTCGAAAACTTGTGCTGTGCTCGTCTACCTCACTCTTGGTCTCCTCTTCCCTCAAGGCGTTTTTGTTGAACACAGAAAACACAGATGGGAGCCGCAGGAGGCTAGGGGCATAGATGGGAGGCAAAAAGCCCAGTAGGTCACATTGATCTGATGCTATATACTACGCGTCACGGAGTAATGTCACACCCTTTTTCCGAACCAAGCACATACAATATCCACACATCAACAGTTTTGTGTGACTACGCCACCAGCACAAGTCGGACCTTCGAGTCATTATGTTGAACACAGAAAACACAGATGAGAGCCGCAAGAGGCTAGGGGCACAGATGGGAGGCAAAAAGCCCAGTAGGTCACATTGATCTGATGCTATATACTATGTGTCACAGAGTAATGTCACCCCCTTTGTCCGAACCAAGCACATACAATATCCACACATCAACACATCAACAGGTCAGGATATGGATGGTTTGTAGATGATTGGCCTACATTGGGGCTACTCTGCAGGGCACTTCTGCGGCCCAATCATTTCTGGAATAACAGCGAGATAGTGACTTGGCCGTGCCCAAGCCGGTGCTTTGCTATCTGTAATCTCCAAGCAGGGGGACACTATCTACACTTCACTCCGTATCTGTTATGTTCCCGTCCTCTCATAGTCCAACTCCCACCATGCTCTCTACACCCCAGCCCTCTCCTGCAACCTTATTGCCCTCAGAAACGCAATGTGTGAGTCATGTCTGCAAGACAGCCTGGTCTGTTGTCTGACAGAGACCATCACAGGTCAGTCATAGCAATGAAGAGGACAGTTGGATCTGTGGCAAACAAGATTTGGAAGCTTGTACTATCGCATCTGTGGGTCTGTTTCTATAGGTGCTTGGCTTGCGCATTCTGATTCGGTCACAGCGCTTCCCCAACATATCTGCCAAGGAAGACAAAGACAGTCCAGAAGACAACGATGTGGAAATGGAAATGGAAATGGCCAAGTTCATTGACAATGGGGTGCTGTATGAAGAGGAGGAGGACCCTGCCCAAGGCAATATTGATGACAAAGTAGACAACTGGCTAAGTCCAGAGGAAGAAAACCACCGCAACTCCGAACAGCTCACTCAGGTGGCCGCATCCTTTACGCGACAAGTGGATCAGCAACGTCTGGTCTCACCAGACTGTTGGTAAAATGACTGAACCAGGAATTGTTGGTGATTGGTTTTGGACTTGATCACTCTCTGGTGATTTGGTCACATGATCATCTGATTCCATCTGATCTTATCACTGATTACATCACTGATGATATCTGATTCCATCACTGTTCCCATCATTCCATCATTTTGGTCACATGACTCCAGGTCACATGATTCCTGTACAGTCACATGCTCCATCCACATGGATAGTTCCTTCCTCCCTGGAGTTCTTCAGCTTCTTACTGTTGACTCCAGGTCTGTAGATTCTTTTCTTGTCTTGTCTTGCAATGCAGAGCTTCTTACTGTTGACTCCAGTCCTCTCTGCATTTCCTGCTTCAACAGGAATTGAACCTGGGACCTCTGATAAGTGCAACCAGTGCTCTAACCAACTGAGCTATTCTGCCGATAGTGCTTGGGGCCCATACTCCAACACAGACAACGAGGACTTACACCTGGGCAGATGGGCTGCTCTCAGCCAGGTTCCTATAAGCTAAAGCCCTCCTATAGCTTGCATTCAAGTCCCTCATGGGAGTGAGCAAGATCTGGTGTTTTGGCTTATCCAGCACTCCAAACTGATGCCTGACATCATTGCTGCGTACGCCAATCCACTCCTGCCTGGTTGTGTTTATGTGGAGACTATGAAAATCAACCACTTGCTCTCTACTCTTAGAGCGTTGCCGCTTCCGCTCTCAATCCTTGCTTCTTTGTTGTCCAAGGGGACAGCAAGCAATCCTGCGCTTCCTCATGGGATAACCTCTTATTCGAGGTTCCGCAGCATCTCCAGGAACGTGTTGTTGGTTTTGGACGCTTTTCAGGATGCTTTTCGAGACGTCAAGGCCTCTCTCTCCATCCGGGCTTAGCCTAGCAGCTGGGCACATATGACTGGGGAAGGGAAGGAGGCATTCAGGTTTGTACGGAATGCTGTATTGTATTGCAGTGATCTTGTGTTCGTATGTGATGCGTCCACTCTACTTGTCATTCCCCACATTGACTTCAAAGACGATTGTCAGGGGACGCCGCGCTTCTTGGGCATGTGACCATGCACGTGACCCACTGCACCCTCTCTGCTGACCCGTGCCTGCTCACCTGTCGATCACCCAGCCTCCTCCTCCTCCTCCGATCCTCATCTCCATCCATGCCGACATCCGCCCTCTCCCTCCTTCTCCCGGCTATCTCCCTCGAATCCCCGCAAGCGGTCTAGCCAAGCCCGATTCCTTGCACCAGGGAGTGCTACTGCCGTATGCACTCCTCCCCCTTCACTTTGGCCTTCTCCCCGCGGATGTGGTCTACTGCCGTACAGGCTCGTACCAGATGCCCTTGCGCTCATCTGCACCACCCCTCTTCCCAGTCGGGCATTGGTCCTCGCCTCCAATGTCTCCACTGGCTAGCCCGGCACTGGCCTGGCCACTGGGCTGTTGGAGTTGGGAATCCCAGCACCAAGGCAGAATGGCTCAGTGGTTAGAGAACTGGACGATCCAAGTCAGAGGTCCCAGGTTCAATTCCTGGTTCAGCCATTTTATCAACATGGGCTCCTCCAGTGTGTGTTGAACACAGAAAACTCAGATGGGAGCCGCAGAAGGCTAGGGGCACAGATAGGAGGCGAAAAGCCCAGTAGGTCACATTGATCTGATACTATATACTACGCGTCACGGAGTAATGTCACAACCTTTGTCCGAACCAAGCACACACAATATCCACACATCAACAGTGTGGCCTTCCACTGTTGGTGTCTCAGGAGCTGGCCATCACTGGCCCCTCTGAGCCACTCACTATCTTATCTGGGTTTGTCATTATCTACTTGTCATCTGCCATTGTTCCATGGCAGTGATATCCCATCATCATCAGTCACTTGTCACAGCTGACTCTATAGCGTAACACCTGGGCACATGGATCCTTGAACCGTTCTCTAAGGATCCCCTCTGTGCTGAGGTGAGTAGTATACCTCCCTTGTATTTGTGTTGGAGTTGGGAATCCCAGCACCAAGGCAGAATAGCTCAGTGGTTAGAGCACTGGACGATCCAAGTCAGAGGTCCCAGGTTCAATTCCTGGTTCAGCCATTTTATCAACATGGTAGCAGCAACTCACAGACATAAGTCGGCCTGGAACACACTGGCGTGGACCACTGCAGTCTGATGAGTGCCTCATGATAAATGGTGCCACCCCGTCCTTGACAGGCACAGTGCCAATGGTGCTGTGATACCGGGGGAGTGTTGGAGTTGGGAATCCCAGCACCAAGGCAGAATAGCTCAGTGGTTAGAGCACTGGACGATCCAAGTCAGAGGTCCCAGGTTCAATTCCTGGTTCAGCCATTTTATCAACAATTTGATAGTCTCTAAGGATCCTCCTCTGTGCTCAGACTCATGTAAGGTTGTTGTGTGCTGTGTGCTCTCTTCCTTCGGGCTGGCAGGAGTTGCCCTTACAACGATTGCCCACATTGTAACCAACGCCCTGCACCTACGCCTTTTGTTGGCCAGGGTTTATACACAGGAGAGAGATGGGAACAAAAGGGACTGTATGTCCACTGGAGGAATCATTGGTTCCATGGACCGTTCGAGGAAATTCAGTGCAAAATTGTTTCCCATCCCTGGCCTATTACCTTCCTCTCTGAACCTCCTACCTGGAACAAACTGCATCCTTTCGTGGAGCTGGATTCGCTCTCATATAACGATCTACCTGTTAGGGCAGGGAAAGCCAGGCGGTTGGTTGTGGATCTGGACTCTTTCTGCTTGGCACAGGCATATAAGAACGCCACTTGTCAAGCACTCCAGGCAGGGGATTGAGCAGTCTTGGACTCAGATGATGTTAAGGATGGGTTTTGGACTTGATCACTCTCTGGCGATTGGGTCACATAATGATCTGATTCCATCTGATCCTATCACTGATGATATCTGATTCCATCATTGTTCCCATCATTCTGGTCACATGACTCAAAGTCACATGATTCCTATACAGTCACATGCTCCATCCACATAGATAGTTCTTGCCTCCCTGGAGTTCCTCAGCTTCTTACTGTTGACTCCAGGTCTGTAGATTCTTTTCTTGTCTTGTCTTGCAATGCAGAGCTTCTTACTGTTGACTCCAGTCCTCTCTGCATTTCCTGCTTCAACAGGTTATGGGCCCCGGCCTCTAGAGTGCCTCTGAGTCATCTATTCTGAGATTTTCGAGTTTTTTCCATTCTCTGATTTTCTCTGCCTGCTGCTGCCTGCTTGCCCCAGTCCTGCTACTGCAGTTGACATCTCTGCTCCTCTCTGTTTTTTTTTTTTTTCTGCTCTTATAGTGTCTGTGGTTCAGGCACTAGTAGTTGGGACTCTATCCTTAAGTGGGTGTGCTCTTTGGTCCATCAGGAAACACCAGGTAGTCATTCCTGTGATCCTGAGGTTGAGACAGCTAGGTGCCTGAGATCAACACACTCCTGAGAGCCTGTAGCTACATACATAGATTCCCTCCATCATTCTGGGCGCATTTTTGAGCACAGCATGGCATCAAATTCCTACTCTCATCCATCAGTCTTTTCTCCTTCTGCTGCCCTGGCAGCTGCACCTGCTTCTGCTCAGCCATTGTGTTATGCCTGTTATCAACATGGCCACACACTCCTAAAATGCCCAGAGTTTCTGTCTCTCCTAGAGGACAATGCTTCTGAGCCTGAGCCAGAGCCTGAGCCTGAGCCAAGGCCTAGGCCTAGGCCTAGAAAGGGTGCAGTCAAGTCTGAAGTGGCCACTCATACAAGCCTTCTCTCCCACTCCACTGCAGGCCCTGAGTTGAGATGGATTGCAGATTCTGGTGCTACATCACACATGACCCATTGTGTGCACCTGCTGCAGAACACTCGTCCTCATAGGGCACCCATCAGAGTGGCTAATGGACTTGTGGTCTATTCAGAGCTTGTGGGGGAGATAGTGCTTAGGCCACTGATCCATGGACATGCCAGGAGCCGGTCTGTCATCCTCTCCAATGTGCTCTATGTCCCTGCTCTGTCACACAATCTGATCTCCACTACATACCTGTCAGTTCACCATGACTACACTGTGCTCATGAAGGAGAACTACATCCTGTTCAAGTGCAATGGTGAAGTGTACTTTGTGGCAGATATCTCAGAGCAGGGCCAGGCATTTGTGAGAGAGACTGGTTTCCCTTCTGCTGGTTCAGCACTGGTCTCTACAGCTGGGACTCTTCCCATTGACCTCAGCCTGATGCACAGGCGGCTTGGACACCACAGTGATACCAAGCTAGTCATGGATAAAGAGCTGGTTACTGGTGTGAGGCTTGCCTCTGCTAGGAAGCCAGACCCCATCTGTGAGCCATGCCTCTTTGGCAAGCTGAATGCTGGCCTGTTTCCTTCAACTGGTCATCGTTCTGGAGCGCCTCTTGATCTGATTCACTCTGATCTAAAGAGCTACTCTGTGCCCACCCGCGAGGGCTGGAAGCACAGGGTGACTTTTGTTGATGATCACACTGGCTTCAAGGTAGCATACCACATGAAGAACAAGAGTGAGACATTTGCAGCCCTTAAGATGTTTCAAGCCTATGCTGAGACTCACTGGGGGCTGAAGATCAAGGCATTCCAGGACGATAAAGGGGGAGAGTACATGTCTAATGAGTTCAGAGCACATCTGGACAAGTGTGGCATTGTGCACCGCCATTCAGTCAGGGCACGGCCTCAGCAGAATGGGACAGCAGAGCGGTCTAACCGCACCGTTGATGAGCACTCCACTGCCATGTTACACGAAGCCAATCTGCCCCCTGCATTCAGGGCACTGGCGGTGTCTGCATACATCCATGTGTGCAACATGCACCCCACAGCTCGAGACCCCACCAGGACTCCCCATGAGCTGTGGTTCAAGGCAAAGCCTGATGTGTCTCATCTTCGTGTTTGGGGATGCCTTGCCTATGTGCATGTGCAAAGGGACAAGAGAGGTCCTTCTGGTCACCATGTCCAGAAGTGTATCTTTGTAGGCTATCCTGCAGGGTACAAGGGATGGTTGTTCTTCAACCCAGAGACCCGGAAACTCGTTGTCGCTGAGAGAGCAGTGTTTGATGAGCGCTACTTCCCAGGCAGCACCCCTCAAGCGATGAGGAGCTGTCCTGTGGCACCCCCCTCCTCCATGCTGGTGGATCCCCCTTGTGCTCCGGCACCAGTGTATGTTCTTGATGACGATGGTGATGATGAGCAGCAACAGCCGCCTGCTCGTCCTCTCCCTGCACCACGAGTCCCATCTCCTGCAGCCAGCAGTGATGATGAAATCGACTTTCTACGTCGAGGTCCACCACCTCCATCTCCACCACCAGCTGGGGATGCCCCGCTTCACCCTCTACCCTTGCCTCCTCCTCCCCAATCTCCAATTGGGGTGGCAGCTCGTCGTGCTGCTGCTGGCATCCATTGTGTCCCTGCACCACCCAGGAGGACTCCAGCTCCGGCTGCTGCTCCTCCCAGGCGCACCATGGCAGAGATCTTTGAAGAGATCCCTGAAGACCTCAGCGACGATGAGCTGCTTCTGAAGTCATCCTCAGCCCTGATTGTGGCTCGCGAGGGTGACCCCTCAGATCCCAAGCTGGCAGCAGCTCACGCTACTGCAGTGCAGTCTGTGTTGTCTGCTGTAGCCTCTGGGAACCCCAGGTCGTTCCTTGAAGCGTCCAAGCGGGAGGATGGTCCATTATGGCGCGCTGCAGCTGCATCTGAGATTGACTCTCTGCTCAGCAACTGCACATGGGATGTGGTCGACTTGCCACAAGGGGTCAAGCCAATTCGCTCTCAATGGGTGTTTGTGATCAAACACAAGTCTGATGGCACTGTGGAACGCTACAAAGCCAGACTCGTGGCAGATGGTCGTGGCCAGCGCTATGGCATTGACTACCACGAGGTGTTTGCACCCACCTTCAGACCTGCTACTCTGCGCGTCATCCTTGCCCTCGCTGCCCAGAACAACCTCAAACTGCGCTCCATCGACTTCTCTTCTGCCTACCTCAATGGGGACCTGGATGAGGATGTCTACATGACTCAGCCAGAAGGGTTTCCCCAAGGAGAGAAGGGCCAGGTCCTGAAGCTGAACCGGTCCATCTATGGGCTGAAGCAGGCTGGCCGCCAGTGGCGCATCAAGTTGGTTGCCAAGCTGACTGCCATGGGGTTCAAGTGCATCAAGTCAGACAGCTCCTGCCACATCTACTCTGATGGTATGGTTCGCGTGATCCTGCCCATCTACGTTGATGATGGCACCATTGCTGCAAAGCATGATGCTGACATTGACAAGGTTATTGCCCAGCTTGGCACGGCCTTCAAGGTGCGGGATCTGGGTCCCACAGAGTGACTTCTAGGGATCAAGATAGAGCGTGATGAGCACACTGGGGACATCAGTATCTCCCAGCGCCAGTATGCTGTGAACCTCCTGGAGCAGTATGGCATGGCTGACTGCAAGCCTGTGGACACCCCCATGCTGCCTGGCCTGTCTCTGACCAAGGAGATGGGAGCCAAGACTGAGGAGGAGTCCAAGCAGTTCAAGGGCAACTATCTCTCTGCTGTTGGCTCTCTGATGTACCTGGCCTGTCAGACTCGTCCTGACATCTCCTATGCTGTAGGGGTCTTGGCCCGGTTCAACAGCAATCCTGGTGAAGAGCACTGGAAGGCTGTCAAGCACCTGCTTCGATACATCCAGGGCACCCTTGACTTCCGCATCACCTACTCCAAATCCTCGCCCACCCTCTATGACCCAGCCACCCATATCCATCCTGACGACCTCTTCACCACCTTCACTGATGCTGATCATGCTGGAGACAAGGACTCCATGAAAAGCACTGGGGGGTATATCATCATGATGGCTGGTGGACCAGTGAGCTGGAGGAGCAAGCTGCAGTCCACCATCTCTCTGTCCACCACTGAGGCAGAGTATGTGGCTGGTGTGGATGCTGGGAAGGAGATCAAGTGGATGCGGAATCTGCTGCATGAGCTGGAGCATGGTGTGTCTGGGGCTTCTCCTTTGATGATGGACAACCAGTCTGCCATTTCTGTGTCCAAAAATCCTGAACACCATGGGCGTATGAAGCATCTGGACCTTGCACACTACTGGCTCAGAGATGAAGTGGCTAGAGGGTTCATTGATGTGAAGTATGTGCCGACGCAGGACCAGCTGGCAGATATCATGACCAAGGCGTTGCCTCGGCCTCAGGTGGCAAGGTTGCTCACACTGATGAGATTGCGGGGGAGAGGCTGAGAGACTGATCTCATCCCGGGGGAGTGTTGGTGATGGGTTTTGGACTTGATCACTCTCTAGTGATTGTTGGTAAAATGGCTAAACCAGGAATTGAACCTGGGACCTCTGATAAGTGCAACCAGTGCTCTAACCAACTGAGCTATTCTGCCGATAGTGCTTGGGGCCCATACTCCAACAGTGATTAGGTCACATGATCACTGATTCCATCTGATCCTATCACTGATCACATCACTGATGATATCTGATTCCATCACTGTTCCCATCATTCCATCATTCTGGTCACATGATTCCTATATAGTCACATGCTCTATCCACATAGATAGTTCCTCCTTCCCTGGAGTTCTTCAGCTTCTTACTGTTGACTCCAGGTCTGTAGATTCTTTTCTTCTCTTGTCTTGCAATGCAGAGCTTCTTACTGTTGACTCCAGTCCTCTCTGCATTTCCTGCTTTAACATCCCCACCACCCTACCCTGTCTTGTGAAAGCCGAAAATTGTGTTGGATTTGCTTGGATCTTGGTGGATCTTGGTGGATTGGCCAGATCTTTTTGAATCTCCCTGGATCTCTGCTGGATCTCTGCAAATTGACCTGGATGCTGAAGAAGACTCGAATTGGGTGCAGGGGCTGTCTGGATTTTCGAGGATCTGGTAGATTTCAATTGGGTGGTAGTGGGAGTGGCTGGGTTTTTGGATTGCTTTGTCCTCCCAAGGGTAGGAGTGTTGATGTGTGGATATTGTGTATACTTGGTTTGGACAAAGGGTGTGACATTACCCTGTGACACATAGTATATAACATCAGATCAATGTGACCTACTAAGCTTTTTGCCTCCCATCTGTGCCCCTAGCCTCCTGCGGCTCCCATCTGTGTTTTCTGTGTTTAACACGTTAACGGAAACCGAGCAAAACTACAAGATTTATGACAAGGAAATGCTCACAATCATGCTATCATTGGACAAATGGAGGCAGTTACTACTAGAAGCCACGGAAATGTTTGAGATCTTCACTGATCATCAAAATCTTGAGTACTTCCAGAAGCCGCAGAAGCTCAACCAACAGCAAGCATGATGGATCACAGAGTTGGTGGAGTTTGATTTCACCTTATGACACCAACCAGGCGCACTCAATCGCAAGGCTGATCTTTTATCTCGACGGGCGGATCACGACCAAGGCAAGAACAACAACAAGGACATCACCTTGTTGAAGCCCAAGTTGTTCCGATCACAAGAAGTCATATTCAAGGGACAGGATCAACAGCTGATCAATGAGATCAAGGCCATTTGATCGATTGATGGAAGTGTCAAGGCAGAATTGGAGAAGTCTCTCCCCAGATAGAAAAAGGAAGATGGACTTATCACGTATCACAGGAAGCTCTACGTACCAAGGAACAAGGAGCTACAAGACAAGATCATTGGACTACACCACAACACACCTCTCGTCGGACACGCAGGAATCAACTGGATGCAGGAAATGGTGGAAAGGAATTATTGGTGGCCAAGGATGGGAAATCAGATTTGAAAATACATCCAGATGTGCGAGGCGTGCCAACAGACAAAGACCAAGAGGGCAAGGACAGGGACTCTGCATCCACATGTGGTACCAAGTGCTCCATGGGAAATCATCTCAATGGATCAAATTGGACCTCTACCAGTCAGCAATGGGTATGATGCAATTCATGTGTGGTGTGACACCCTCACAAAAATGATTCACATGGAACCAATCAGTACTGACATTACTAGCAAAGGAGTAGCACGGCTAACTCGGGACCAAATCTTCTGCTCTCACGGGATCCCTCGCAAGATCATCACCAACAGGGACGTACGGTACATCAAGGGCTTTATGAAGGAAACGAATTGGATGTTGGGGGTGGAGATGAACCCTGGGACCGCATACCACCCAATCATGGATGGGCAGATGGAACACATGAATCAGGAGATCAAGCATTATCTCCGCATCTATGTCAATTACCATCAGACGAATTGGTCAGAGTGGCTGGGAATGGCGGAGTTTGCATATAACAACAAAATGAACATGTCCACCAAAGTATCGCCATTTTATGCAAACCACGGATATCACCCATGGAAAGGAGTAGAGCAGAGAATGGAATTGAGGAATGAGTCGGCGGAGGAATTTGCGAAAAGAATGAAAGAAATACAAGACAAAGCGAAAACAGCATTAGAAAAAGCAAATGAAAAAATGAAAAAATACTACAATAATCAAAGAAAAGAAGTTCCGGAGTTGAAGGTTGGGATAAAGGTGTACATGGAAGGAGGGAATATTGAAATGGATAGACCATCAAAGAAGATGAGTGACAAGAGATTAGGGCCGTACAAGATTTTGGAGAAGGTTGGAGCAGCCGCATGGAAACTGGACCTGCCAGATACGGACCAGAGACACCCGGTGTTCAATGAGTCCCTGTTGACACCCTATCACAAACCATCCCCCCATTGCCAAGAGAAGAGACCCGTGGCAAAGATGATTGGAGGAGCCGAAGAGTGGGAAGTCGAAGAGATCATGAAAGAGCAAAACCTCAGCCGAGGGAAACAATACTTGGTCAAATGGAAGGGATGGCCGCACAGCAAAAACACCTGGGAACCATCACGTCACCTAACCCACGCAAAGAAGGTCTTGGCAGCTTGGGAGAAAAAACAATCTGATCCGAACACCCGCATTCGCGCCGTGCCAATACTCCAAGCTGACCACTGGGATTACCTCATCCATTGCTACATACCCAAAGATGAGCGGCTTCCATATCCCCGACGACAACTCTTTGACCCCTACAACAACGTCTTCACACCGATCGGCTCTGTCAATGAGGACATCGACCCTAGAGAGGGGGTAATGTCATGATTCAATCATTTTTCACAATCATTCCATCGATCACCTTATCTTATCATTGACATGGGACTATCTTATCACAGATCACGGCACCACACAATCCGGGTTTAGGGTTCAAGAGGGTTATCTGTACAAGAGGTCACACAGCGTGTGCTCCAGAAGTCTATACTACAACCCATGACCAAGGCTCCACACAGTACATAGTCAGATGACTTGTTTGATGTAGATAAGACTCAGACTGGACTTAGTATAAATACAGTAGCTATTGTGTTGTATTCTCCAGTCTTGGAATTGACTTGTCTTTTCAATCATATTCTGTGTTGATTGTCACAGGTAGATGAATAGCCAGTAGTTACCAATTAGGAAGGTGCCTCCACTGATTGCCCCTGATCAGTGCTTCCAGATTCCAGACAGTGGCGCCACAAAGAAGCGAAAACGCAGCGCAAAGAAGAGCGCATCTTCAGCAACCGCAGTCTCACAAGACCGAACGTTTGCGGGAAATTTGACCGAATGGAACAATCAAGAATCCAAATATCGTTGTCGAAGCTTTGATGCGCGGCGCATCATCTATCCAGGCGCCAATTATGAGCCGTGGTGGGACATGCCGCAGTTGATTGCTCAGGTCTGTTCTCTCAACGTCAAATTCAGAATTGCTGACGCGTTTCCAGGTCAAGGACGCAATTCAGATCTTCAACGCCAAATTCCCTAATGGCATCGCCGTTTTCATATTCGACTGCTCTTCCGCACATGAAGCTTATGCATCTGACGCGCTTCTGGCTCACAAGATGAACCGCGGCCCAGGTGGTAAGCAGCCCGTCATGCGCTCGACTTACATCCCTGCCACAGGGCAGCCGCAATCAATGGTATTCCCAGTTGATTACAAGGGTGTCGATGCCGCCGGAGTTTTGTTGGCAGGTCGTCCAAAGGGAATGGAGCAAGTTCTGCTCGAACGCGGTCTTCTCAAGGGACTGCAAACCAAACACGGGAAGAGTCTGACTCGCATCTGCAAGGACTGCAGTCTCTCGCAGGCGGCGCGCGAGAAAGCTCTTAAGGAAGCGAAGTCGCGGGAGGACGAGATTGAAGGATCTGGCATTCCAGCATCTCGGGCTGACATTGATGTGGACGGAGATTTGGAGCAACGCACAAACTGCTGCATGCAACGTGTCCTGTCACTCCAGAAGGATTTCCTTGAGGAGAAGCCACTGCTGCAGCTAATCATTGAACAAGCAGGGCACAAATGTTTCTTCCTGCCCAAGTTCCACTGTGAACTGAATCCGATCGAGATGTATTGGAGTCAGCTGAAGCGCTGTAAGCTTCCTTTTGACGCATCATGGTTCATCATCTACATATTCATTTACTTCACAGACTTCCGCGAGTACGCAGATGGGACTTTCTCAAAGGCACAGAAGCTTGTCATCGAAGCCTTGGATAGAATAACAACTGGGAACGTCCGCAAGTACTTCCGTCATTGCAACAGATATCTCCATGCCTATCGGTGCGTGAAGAAGCCTCACCCGGAAGGCAATGACACCAACAGTCTCTCAGACTTGGCCTGAATATACAACAGGCCGCATATGCTGTCAAGAAATACACGTCTCATCGTCGCATCCCCGCCACTGTGTTGGATGATCCAGAAATTGTCCTGCGGGGGGATGTGGCAGTGTCTAACCCTACCCAAAATGGGAATTGATCCGATCATTAGGGTTTGTTTCATTTTTTCGAGCTCAAAATGTGCAACCTTAAGATCATCGGCCACAGAGCACAAGGTGGTTAGATAGTATACAATAGACACCAAATACATTACCAGAACCACAGAAATGTTTTTCGTGAAAATGTAGTAAGCTTTCCAAATTTGGATGACAGTCACAGCCAGCTCGGCTACGAGATGTGACTGTTGGCACTGTAGTGCAAATCAACGCTCTAACAGCCAATTTGGTTGTGCCGTCTTGAAAAGTGTCCTACTAGGGAGTAGCAGGGGGCCCATGTTAGCTGCACCTGCTAGAAAGCATGCGTTGAACCGCTATTCCAAGTGAGTGGGGATGTGCATTGAGATAACAGAAGATGACAGTGAAGATATGCGAGTGACTATAGGACGTGATAAGATGTGATACTTTTCTCTATGGCATGGTTTCTAGTCTAGAAACCACCCATTCCGCCCATTCCGCCCATTCCGCCCATTCCACCCATTCCACCCATGCCGGGTGCTGGCTTATCCTCCTCAGGTGCATCAACAATAGAGCACTCGCTAGTTGTCAATAAGCTGGCAACACCGGAAGCGTCAAGTAGGGCGGTCCGCACGACCTTGAATGGATCGACGATACCAGCTTTGACCATGTCGACGAACTCCCCCTTGCTAGCGTCGTAGCCCCAAGAGAACTTTTCAGCTGACCCATATTGCTGCATCAAAGTACCAACGATCACACTTGACTCCTCCCCAGCGTTGACCAGGATGGCCCGGGCAGGGGCAGTGATCGCCCGACGAACGATAGCCACACCGAGCTCCTGGTCGAAGTTGCTTGTAGCAATCGGTTTTGCGTCCGGCGACGTGACCGAGCCGGAAGAAGCCGCGCCAGGCGATGAGGTTGCCAGCAGCATCGAGGCTTTGAGCAAGGCCACACCGCCTCCGGGAAGAATTCCCTCCTCGACGGCAGCACGAGTCGCGTTCAGCGCATCATCATACCGATCTTTCTTCTCGCCGACCTCGACCTCGCTGTGCCCTCCGACCTTGATCACAGCCACTCCACCCGACAGCTTGGCCAGACGTTCCTGCAGCTTGCTGCGGTCGAATTCGCTCGTTGTCACATCAGCAATGAGCGACCGGATCTGCTCGCACCGAGCAGCGATAGCGTCCTTCGAGCCGTCACCGTTGAGTACGATGGTGTCCTCTTTTGTGATAGTGATGCTTCCGGTGGTTCCGAGCATATCAACGGTCGCATGCTCGAGCTTGACGTCGATCTCGTCGCTGAAGACAGTTCCACCGGTAAGGATGGCAAGGTCGCCGAGGATGGACTTGCGGTTGTCGCCGAAGCCCGGGGCCTTAACGGCAACGACCTGCAACTGACCCCGGAGTTTGTTGAGGATGCAGGCAGCAAGTGCCTCGCCGTCGAGATCTTCGGCAATGATCACCAACGGCCGACGGGCTTGGGCAGCCAACTCGAGAGTGGGAAGCAAGTCTTGCAGAAGGGAGATCTTCTTCTCGCTGAGCAAGATGAAGGGCTTCTCCATCTCGACCTTTTGGGCCTTCACATCCGTAATGAAGTACGGGCTGATGTAGCCACGGTCGAACCGCATTCCCTCCGTAATCTCAATCTCGTCCTCGATCGTGCGGCCCTCCTTCACCGTGATGACACCCTCCTTACCGACCTTCTCCATGGCCTGCGCGATGAGGTTGCCGACGTGGGTATCGCCATTCGCAGATATAGTTGCGACCTGAGCAATCTCTGCTGTGGTGGTGATCGTCTTCGTTTGCGAAGAGAGGAATTGCACGACACGTTCCACAGCAGCCTGGGCACCGCGACGCAGGTCCATTGGGTTGCAGCCGGCGGCAACGTTCTTCACACCCTCAGAATAGATAGCACGAGCAAGAACCGTGGCGGTCGTGGTACCGTCACCGGCAATCTCGTTCGTCTTAGAAGCGACATCCTGCACGAGACTGGAGATAGTGTCAGCACAGCGTGTCTTATTGTTGCGCCTTCAAGCATAACGCGAGCGGCGGGTGTATGAGCAAAGCTTACCGAGCACCGAGGTTCTCGAACTTGTCTTTGAGGGTGATAGCCTTCGCAACGGTGACACCGTCTGGATTGAAAACAAGGGGTCAGTCACTAGTAGACGATGACAAAGCTTCAACTCGCCCTTGGTAATCTTCGGCCCGCCGAACGACTGTTCAATGATGACGTTTCGGCCTGTGAGAGCTAGCGGTCAGCAGCGGATATCCTAGCCACCCACGACACGCACCTTTGGGACCAAGCGTCACTTGCACAGCATTCGCCAGGACGTCAACACCCTTGAGGATGCTCGCACGTCCGTCGTTGGAGAACTTGATCTCCTTGTGTGCTCCGCGCGTCAATGAAGCTTGAGCGCGGGCCGCCGCGCGACGCATGGAACGAGTCGAGGTGGATGAGACGCGGTGCATAGTGAGAGGGGAAGATGTCCACTTAGAAGGGAAGAGACTTGGGAAAGTGGAAGTAGGAAGAAGAGGGAGTGGAAGAACGTCACAAGCCGACGAGGGAAAAAGTTTTCAACGCGCTGACGTGTTGATCCCCACGTCAGCGAGGCGCCGTCACATGCTAAGAGAAGACTGATCGCATCTTATCTGCCTTTTGACCCGATCGATGAGCCCGCTTTCTCACTTGACCTCGACCATGTCAGATTTGGACCCCACCACCGAGTCCAACTACCAAGACGTCTCGTCAGAACATGTCTCGATCTTCTGGAATGTAGACTTCAAGACCCAGATTATCGCTGGTTCCGTCACACATCGCATGAATGTGCTCGGTGACAATGTATCGGAGGCAATGTGCGCGCTTTTTCGAGCAAACCCGCACATATTTATCCAACACCATTCCTTCGAAGCTTCGATACCAGTGATCTTGAGATCTCTCAAGTTGCAGTCAACGGAGACTCCGCCACTGTGAGCCCAGCTCATCTTTTGTCCGACATGGGCATGATCCAGAGTCTCAGTACAACCTCAAACCCAAGCACTCGGTGATGGGCTCAGCGCTTCACGTTCTTCTCCCCTCTGGATTGAGACCGGGTGCCAAAATCGAGGTCTCCATCGCATACAAGACGTCGCCCGAAAACACAGCGCTGCAATGGCTGGATCCAGAGTGCGGGGCTATCTGTTCGCTATGGAATCTTGTCCCTAAAGCCTTTTTGAACGCGCAGACAAACACAGGGGAAGCAGTTCCCGTACCTCTTCAGTCAATGTCAGCCCATCTACGCTCGTGCACTTCTTCCTGTGCAGGATACGCCCTCGGTGAAAATTGTACGCCGCGAAACTCGATTCCCGACCCAATTGTTTATGAATCCTTGAAAAGACCTATGCAGCCGAGGTGACTGCGGTCCTGCCTGTTCTCCTTTCTGCAATCCGCGTCTCTCCACCATCGGACGGCCCAGCACATGACGGAAAAGTCATCGGAGAGGATGCTGTGACCTACAGATACAGCCAGGTATCTTTCACCTGGCATCCTTTCCTCCGTGTTAGCCGGCTGACTGACTATGACTCAGCCCGTACCCATTCCTTCCTACCTGATCGCCATCGCCAGCGGCAACGTGCGCTACCGCCCTTTTGCGTCGCTGCCTGAACGGGCATGGACCAGCGGTGTTTGGGCCGAGCCAGAACTTATGGACGCGTCTTTTTGGGAATTCAGTGAGCACACGGCCAAGTGGGTAACAGCCATTGGCAACCACATCTGGCACTTTCCGAACGCCATTGCAGATTCATCGCGACCGCCGAGGATATTGTGGTGCCCTACAAATTTGGTGTTTTTGATCTGCTTGTCCTTCCGCCGTCTTTTCCTTATGGCGGAATGGTGTGTCTGCTTTGTCTACCCGCCTGATCCACCCTCATTGTTCCCCAGGAAAACGCGTGCCTTACGTTCCTGACCCCGAGCAAGCAAACTCGGCCCCCTTTTGTCGCTCGTCTAATCCCGCTCTGTAGCACTCCTAGCCGGAGACCGCACACTCGTCGATGTTGTCGCTCACGAACTTGCCCATTCGTGGTTCGGCAACGGAGTGACGTATGACTGTCCTCCTGTCTCCTGTTTCCCACTGCACCTCACCGCTTTCTCAGACACGCGCACGCTTCGCATTTCTGGCTGAATGAGGGCTGGACAGTCTGGATGGAGCGTTTGCTCCTGCAATACATCCATAAGTCGCCGGCAGCACGGGGCTTCTCATATATCATTGGCGCGAAAGCCCTCGCAGACGATCTCAAGCTCCATCAAGACCAACCACGTTACCAGCGACTCGTGATTCCGTTCACGAGGGGTGAAGATCCAGATGACTCATACTCGCGCGTCCCGTATGATAAAGGGGCCACACTGCTTCTGCATCTCGGTGAGGGATCAAACAGCTCGTCGCATTGCTCAGCAGGTTGATAGCCGTCGACAGAACAAACGCTGGGCGGCTTGGACGTCTTTCTGCCATATGTCAAGGACTACGTGTCCACATTTGTTGGTTCCAGCATCACGACTGAGCAATGGAAGGATCACCTATACGGATTTTTCGCGAAGCAAGGGGACAAAATCGAATTGCTTGACACCGTGGACTGGGATGTATGTCGTTCGGGCTTGCTTGAGCATCATGCTGACAGTTTTCCACTAGGCCTGGCTCAACGGCGAAGGAACAAAACTGCCCGTCGAGCTCACGTTTGATCAGACGCTTGCCCAGGCTGCATACGCATTAGCCGACAGATGGGCTGCATCAGATGATCTGTCGCAGTTCGTCCAAGCCGACCTGGGAGGCTTCAGCTCGACGCAGAAAATTGTTTTCCTGGAGCGTCTCCAAGGTCTTGGTCCCTTGTCCAAGGAGCACATCATCCAGATCGGCGCTGTCTACGGTCTGGCAGAGACCCTGAACGCCGAGATTCGATTACGTTTCTACGGCTTGGCACTGTCGCCGGCGACGCCAGAAGCTGCATTGTACTACGTGAAGGCGGCTGCGAATTGGGTAATTGGGGCAGACGGTACTGGTGTGATCAAAGGGCGCATGAAGTTCTGTCGCCCCGTCTTGCGATCTGTCCACAGAATTGATCCCGAGATGGCTATGGAGATCTGGTCCGCCAACAAACACTCGTTTCATCCCATCGCTCGGAGATTGGTTGACAAGGTCAGTGCGTCTCGAATGATCGCGTTTCATTATTCTGATGACTGGCAACCAGGATCTGGGCCTGTTCGAATCGGACTAAGATAATGTAATTCCAGACGTGTACTAGTCGATAGCCACGAACGATTAAAGAAGGGAAGCGAGTAAAGCGACACCACCGAGGACGGCAGCGACTGAGAGCTTCGTGTTTTCGGCGGCACCGCCGGTCTTCGAAGCAGCAGGTGCGGATCCTGATGCAGATGCGGATGCATTGGTCGCAGAGGCTCCACCCTTGGCCTTTGCCTGGTACGCGGCAAAGTTGTTGGCACTGGTCTCATTGGCGTTGATGGAGAAGACCATACCAGCCTCGCAGTGGGCTGGGGGACCGGCCTCTGAAGGACGACGATCAGTAAACAGGATTCCGGGACCACGAAGACTGAGAAGACTCACGCTTGCAGTACGCCCATACGGGCTTAGTGTCTACAACAGTGTAGTTGTAGGTTGGGAAGCCAGACGTCAAGCTAGCATTAACGGGCATGCTGTCGCGAAGATCAACAGAGGAACCGAGGACAGACAAACAGGTGGCTCACAAGCCAGAGTCGAACGGTGCCGGAGCACCCGCTGCCGCAGCCAAGGGCTGGCATGGAGAAGCAAAGCTCGATTGCGTGGCGGTATGATTCTTCGCGTGGAAGACGCTACAGAAAAGCGCATGGCACATCAGCCAACGCAAACACGAAGGACGAAGCGAGAGATGCGCACAAGACAACCGTGTCGCCGACGGCGGCGGAGATGTTCGAGGGCGAGAACGCGAGTCCACCGAGACCAACGTCGATGGTGTGGATGGGACCGGCGGCAGAGGCGGTGGACGAAGGTGCCGCAGCGGAGACGCTAGCATCGGCATTCGAGCCTCCGTACCCGCCGTATTGGGGCATGGCCAACGCAGCTGGCAGGAGGGCAAAAATAAAAGCAGAGGAGAACATAGTGAAGAAGGGAAGAAAGGAAATTTTGGTGAGGGATTCCCCTGCACTACTGACCTGGCTTTATAGGTGCGCCATTAACGCGGGGCTGTCAATCGTCGCTAGCGGAGCGCTCATTTTGGCAGGAGGTAACGGATCTCGATCGTCTACGCACATGTCCTCGATGCCAAGTGGCAACGATCGAACGCCCCCCCGCCAACAATCGATCTTCCCTTGTTCTGGACAGAGGCCGACATCGCCGACTCTGAGCCTGCGCTTGTGTGCGATACTCTCTGTAGGCTGATGATGATAGGGAAAACTGCTGCATAATGCAACGCAACAGCGAGAAATCCACCGTGATTTGCAGGCATTTGGTGGCAGGGACATGCTGACATGGCATCTGGATTTGTCGACCCTGAGCAGACGGGTGTCACTTCAGAAGTTCTGATTGTGTGTATCATCGCCGCAGAATGACTCAGCATTACCGTGACTTGTGACCAAAAGCCCGAACGATGTCAATCACACGGTCAAAGCGTGAAATTTGAAGCTTGGCCGGGCTAATTATAACTTGAAGAGGGATATTCGACGAATGTCCGGTTTCCACTTCGGTAAAGAGAGTGTTCGTGGTCACTGCTCTTGGTTCCAGGATGACATGTTGAGTCCAGGATCAGAGTACTGTCCAGTCACGATGCCCAGCAATGATCCTCACAGACCGTAAAATGGAGAGGCATTTCACACTCGCAAACAATTCAGTTATAGTGGGATGGGTCAGCCCGATCGCAAATTGGGATGTGTTCCGACATAGGGGATCGACAAAGTTTATTGTGGACGCTGGCGCAAAATGTGCCTTTGATCCATGAGCGCTCGGCACTCGGCGCTCATTGATGAATACAACATGGCCGAAGCCGGTATGTTGGCTATGATCGGCGCGTTTCGGAATGAAAGACAGATCAGCGCGTCGGCGATGGGGAGCGGCTGATTGATGGGCGTTCTGAGACAGGACGACAGACCTCACCATCCTATCCATCTGCACCTCCTTGATGTCCATCCACAGGCTTCGTTCTTTTCGAGAGACACCGTTGTTCTGGGAAATGTCGCTGGATCACGCCGAAGGTGTTTTGATTCTCGAGAGACTGGTTCATGCATCGCCAGGGTGATATCGATGTCTTCGCGAACACCCAGGGTCGTTTCATGAGACGACCCCAGAATGACTTTGTTGAGGGCCGAAATGGTCGCCCATGCAGTGGGTCTACTCAATCTTTTCGCATCGTCAACGCGGAGATCAGGGAGCATGCGAGGTAAATGAAGGTCTCGGAGCAACTGTAGTGGCGGCATCCGTCCATGGGCAGTGTAGAATCGGTCAGGCTGGCCGCTTCCAACCGTGATGGACTCTTGAATGTCACACCGGAAGCTATCCAGACCGAAAGCGAAAATAGATCGAAGGACTCATAAGCATGGTCTAGTAGATGAGCAGGATCGATGTCTGCCATTCATCCAACCGCCCTCGCGCCTACCCGAAATTATGTTGTGGATATGGTATCCCGCTGCGGCGTTTTCCACTTAAAAGGCGGTGGCTACACAGCGAGCTGCTCCTGATCCGCACAGGTCGCAAATGTTCTGGATGGATGGATTGCATAGCCGAATATACATAGAACTGCAGCGGAAGTAATTGAAGGCAACTTCCGACGACGATCTTCGTCATTGTTGCATCTTGAAGCGGGATTCGCAGGGATACTCGGTCGAATGGACAGATATCAAGGGGCTGGTGATAAAATGGGCTCAATGGAATCGTTCCATAGTGGCCTCGAGTAAGCGAATACCTTCCAGCTCCCAAAACGTCCACCGGGTCTCTCGAGTGCACTGTGCAGCAACGTCATAAAGAGAGCTTCAGGAGCTACCGTCCTCCGTTCGGGCAATTTGAATATATGCACGTAGAAAGCAAGTTCGTGTCCATGACCCAGATCCCCAATGAAACCCTTGAACGATGACGAAATTCATTGGGACACTGCGAGGGATGCTGCAAGGCAAATCCTGTCGACCTCGATTTCGAAAGTAATATCCCAGACAGAGACTGATCGTGGACCACCATTAAGAGCAGAAGAGCAACGCGGGCTGTATCATGGATTCGTGATCCACCGTGGATGAAAGCAAACATCGAGAGCCGTACCAAAGGATAGCAGCGGCGAAATTACAGTCAGTGAGGTTTACCCATCTGCCCGCCGCATCAATTTCTTCGCAAGCCTCGCCATCCATCGGCAAGCGCTGCGATCCATGGAAGCAGTGTAGGATGTCGCACGGACCCTGGCGCACACTGATGCTTACACATCATCTCCTTAGGTAGGGAAGAAGATGGACCGTTGGGGATGGAAAACAAAGGGGAGAAGGGGGTAGCTTTGACGTGAACGCACTGCAAATCAGGGATCAGAAACAGCAAGTCGCGCAATGTCACGAAAAGAATTTACCGAAGGAAAAGAGAACAGGTACAAGAGAGATACATAGATATGTATACATAAGTGTATCGAAAGCAGATGCGAATTTTACAAACCCAAAGTACAAGCCTACATTCCACTCGGTGTCCGATCTCTCCTTGGGGTTCCAGGTGTCCTGTCTCTCCGTGGCGTCCCAGGCCGCTTCGGTGTCCCTGGTGGACCACCGGGCATCAATGTCACCCTCCGCTCTCGTTCTCCAGACGAAGCCGTGGCCCGCTGTACTTCACGCGCAGCCTTGCGAGCTGCATCCCCGACCTGAGCCGGCGGACGATCCGAGTCGACGCGCGAAAGCGCTCGGAAAAGGCTGCGAGTTTCGGCGGCGGCTACTCGGGGCTCAACGAGAGCTGTACCGGATGCAGAGCTCCCGTCGACACGACTTCCAACTCCGGCCCGGGCAGCGAGCTCACCGTCGAGCATCTCGAATCGCTCGTCGAGTAATCTCCCGGCAGCACGCGCTGCCGTCCTCGCTCCGCTCAGATTAGTGTGCAACACGTCCAGCTTCCAGCGCATTTCGTTAAGCCTCGCGGTCGTATTATCAAGGTTCGGACCGGGAGCAGCCCGCGCGAGATGGAGGCCCGCGCGGAGACGATCAGACAGTTGGCGTTCGTCGATCTGGCTATCTCGGGATAGACGCCACTCTTCCAACTGTTTGCGATCTTTCGCTTTCATGCTTTCATGTAAGTGGATGACCTTGCGCCATTCACTGTCCTCGCTTTCCGCCCTGACTTTCTATTAGGGCTTCTCTGTGGATGAAGATAGTACCAAAACACTGACTGCTGAACTTCGTTCGAATAGAGCACAGCACGTTCCTTGTTCTTCTCGTTCTGTGCATTGGTGCCTTTGATCGAATCCATCCCTTCATCCTCATCTGCGAGTGACAGTCCTCTCCATTGGGACGCAAGGTGAGTGATCATTTGCTCCGAGGCCCGCTTGAATATGTCTTCTTCAGGGGGAAGAGGTGGTGTTGACGACGCGAAGTCGACCCGTGAAGTGCTCCATACCAGGAGCTGAAGCGCTTGGTCGCCATCAGGAATGTCGCGGTCGATGTGCTTATAGAAACTGTCATCGGTAACCCGAGGATGCGGTAATGCTAGATGATTCAGACCACGCGGATACGAAGATCTAATAAACTCACCAATCGTCCCAAATTGAAACGAGTTGCTTATCCGTTTGCCACGTCCTCCGGTCGAAGAGCGTCGTGAATGGCCTTTCCTCCTGCTATTGTCCTCTTCCTCCTCTCGCTCGCGTGCGATTGCAGCCATGGCGCCCTCACGCAAGCTCTTATTCCTCTTGGCCTGAGGTGTGCCATCCATGAGGGGCTCTAAGACTTCAACCGTCGCATTCCTCCTCTTGCCCTTGCCCTTCTTCACCGGCGAAGATTGAAATGACATGGACGATGAGCCACCCCCGCTGGTATTGGTTAGTGCCCGGCGTCTCAGAGAATCCGCCTCGTCATTCATCGCGCGTACATCCCTCTCCACAACAGGGTCTACCGAGTACCCGCGCGGATCAGCAGACCCAGCTTTGAACTTTTTCGCAGGTGGGGGGTTGCTTGGACCCGCTTTAGGCTGGGAGGCCGTACGTGGCTGCGCGTCAAGATTCGGAGCGCGAACAATTAACAGGCCTCCGGGTCCGTCTTCGTGTACTATCAAAGCGTCAACAATGAGTATCCCACGCGCCGAGGTCCCAGCGCACATTTCCGTTTGGCGGTATCTTTCTTCGTCTTCTTCGCGGGCGCTGCGGTGAGAGGGTTGGTTGATAAGAGCGGATTTGATCTATTGCGTTTCGTAGCCATGGCATATGGCGAGAATTCAAAGGATTAGGCGCCTGGGCGGGATTCGAGGAGGGGGTTGAGGATAAACAACGCGTGATGTAGCCTGTCAACAAACGACAACGCGATTTTGATCGTCAGCCACCCGTCATCTCTTCATGAAGCTCACTCTCCGTTCAGAGTACCGTCCTTGGCCTCTATCCTCCTTCCTCGGAATATTAGATATCAAAACCGGCGTTGTGATTGCCACTCTTTGTGCCGTAGGTCTCTCTCCTTTGTGGTCATTCTTCTCCGCCGACTATTTGCTACATAGATCTTCAACAAAGTTGCAGGCGTTTATGGTCTCATCGCTCTGCTCACAGGAGCCGGCGGCTCCTTTGCTCAATTGAGCTTATATCTCTACTCCGTTCTGGGTTTGGTGGCACTAGCATGGGGACTTGGTGTGGTCAAGCAAGTGAGCGTCCTCGTTTTATAGCACGTGTGTCAGCAGCCAACCCTTTTTGGCAGGAGGATCCTCGGCAGACGTTGTACTACGCCCATCTGTTCTGTGGCGACCACATCCTCTCGACGCTATGGACCGCTTTCTTTGCAATGCAATGGTGGTGGTATATACCCCATGACGGCGCCCGTCAAGCCAATTCTCAAGCCCAAGCGGACTTGATCGCCATTGCGAACCTCACGGAGGCGGTCCTGACAGACGGCGAGCGAACGCAGGCAGCGCAGTTAATCTGGAACCAGGAGAAGGGTACCTCGGCCGTCGTGATACTGCTGGCATGGTTAGCCAAGGTGCGCCTCGAATGTTCCTGTAAGGTCGTTCTCATCATTCCATCAAGATCTATCTGGCTATCCTCATATACTCGTACGCACTCCATCTCCGACAAGGCACATATCATAGCCTTGCCATGAATCGCCCACGTGCATTGTCGATCCGTGCTGGCTCTGTGCCGTTGGATGTGGATCTTGCGCAAGGGGACGATGACGACGTCGAAGATTTCTATCGGCTGAACACACCGACAAAACCGTCCCATGTTCATACGTCGAATGGAAACAGTGCCACGAATGGCCGCATTCATTGATCTCAATTGGCTTGTGTCAGCGACTTCCTAACGCAGGAGCATCACCGATGGCGTTTAGGGTTCACTGTCGATTGGTGTTTCTGATTTCTGCAACGTTGCAAATCATTGGGGATCCACTGTACGCTTACCCTCACACCCTTTGTAGAAGTGATCTACTATCTGTAATTCACAACATCGACATCCCTCGCCAGCCAGTCTAAGTTCCAAGCAGGGCTTCCACAGTATGGTTCAAGCTGTGTGAACATGTAAAAGTTGCAGCCAAACTATCTCAGTGTCATCCGGAGTCGCAGCCATTTTGTCTGCGTGCGGATTTTGACAGTCTACGTATGTATTATGCAAGCTAGAGAGGACGCATTTTCTCAATTTTCAGAGCGGAGCATGCAGCTCAGTAGGACTTGCCCTCCGACATTCAGAGACAGGCATCGCGCTTGAAGTTGGAATAGAATTACTTACTGGTGTTTGGCGAAATTCCCGATAACACTGTGGCTGTGCTGTAGAAACGCTCAGGCTCGTGGCTCTGACCAACACGGGGAGTTCGACGAGATGGCGTCCACTGTTGTCAAACAAATCTCGGCCAGGCGGAGTCTAGAACTAAAAAGACTGAATACTGCAGACGGCGGCAATCTGCTCCTGTTCATTCCGCTTTCCGATCACGACCTGTTTTCTACAGCTCGAGGTGGCAAAAGAAGGATTATGGGCGTCTTTCTGTCCGTTTGAAATTGCCTCAAGGCAGCCATCATGCGCACGGCACCTAATTCCCACTCCTGGGCGTCTAAAATTGCCAGACTCTTCCTCTCTCATCCACCATGGCCCATCCGCTTTCTTACCCAGGGAAATATTTTTTCTATCCCATTGGAAACACCGCTGCCGTGTCGCTCATTCGAGATTTGCCACCGGAGGAGCCAGCGCATGTCCTTCTTCTCGGATGCGGCGATCCACGCAACGTACTGTATTCTGTCTTCATCGAAGGCAGCCCTGGTGAGTTGCTTGCCCACATCTTGTATATTGGCACCAACGTGGTTCCTAGAACGCCCATTGGACTTCACGTGCTGCGATATAGATCCTGCTGTGCTCGGTGCGTACAACTTCAAACTCCATGTGGTCCGTCAGTTGAAGACCGCTCATCAGCACGTAACATCCTACTCTTCAAAGTTGTCGCGGAGGGCGAGGTCGAGATGACCACCGTCTGGAACATGTTCTTTCACATGAAAATTGACGAGGAGTGTCACAGAACGCTGGCCACGCAATGCCAGAAGTTGCTCGACGTCGGAGAAACACTGGAGGACTGGGCAAGATCGTCCTGTGGCGAGTTCATCCGCTTTGGCACACAATACACTCTAGCCGAAGTTCGGCGCCATTGGATGTTGTACATTGGCATGGTCAACTTGCCTGAGGCCCGTCTGCAGCCGATCCGTGCCATCTTCTCATCCATTGCGCAGTCAAACTCTACCGGAACAATCATCAGTCCCGCTCGTTCAGCAGGCCTCTTCCTCTCAGACGCGATCTTCGTCTGTTCTGAAACGTTCCAATACTATTGGAAGACTGGAACAACTTCCTCGCGGGTCGCTGAGTTTCTGAACCCCACTTTTGCGTACTCGCTTGCTGGAGAGGGCTGGAATGTCCACTACGGGACCGACCCCATCAGTTCATTCCACCTCGCTCCACTGTTCAGCTCCAAAAAGTCGGTCTCAAGAACCCAGCTTGTGACGTTCGTTCAGTCACAGTTTGCTGGCTGGTGCGCCGCTTTTCGAGCCGCAGTGGCGAACACGAAGAAGCCGCTCTTCATCAGATTCATTGCAGCGGAAGCGACGGCTCTTTGCAAAGCATTCAACGGGTTCAGAAGCTCTGGTGCTGTTGATATCGGCATTCCTGTAGCGCAATGGAAAACGCAGCTGCTGCAGTTGAATCGGGTGGAATATGGGAATGGGAATGCTCCGACGTCCTTCGCTGTGATTGACACTTCCAATCTTTCCGACCACATCGGCCTGCTGAATATCCTCACTGCAACCGTGTCTCTGCTGAAACCTGCCAGCGGAGTCTTGTACACCGAGTCTCTGTTGACTCATGGCCCAGACGCAACGAAGGAGTTGGCGGACAGATTGTATGCGGATATTCGCACTGCCGGGCTTCTCCTGGGTGTCTGTCCTTTGGACTATCTTTCTGGGTTCTCCTCTCGATCTAACACTCATGAGCTCATTTTGCACGAGGTCATGAAGAGACAGCCGAAGTCGGACCTGTCCAATCGAAAGCAGTTTCACCAGACGACGATCTGGGCACCGCTCGTCTCCGCTGATCCTCTGGCGACTGTGGGAGCAACGGAAACACCTGTCTGGGACCATCGTCAGCTGGGCACACTGCTGTACGACATCTATCACGCACTGTTCGAGAAAGAAGACGCGCAGAATTTCTGGGCCGCGAATTTTGACAAGAAGAACATGTTGAATGCACTCGCGGCATCGAATCTGGTCCACTACATGCGGGAGAGCTTTGTCCTCTTTCTGAAAGTCGTTCGCGAACGGTTCCGGTTTACGCCCCCGAACTGGCAAGAGGTGATGGTTCGTTTTATCGAGCTCAAGGAAAATTCGACGCTGCGGATGGCGACATTACATCACCAGGACTTGGCAGGACACCTCCATCTCCACGGCTTATATACAGCTCCGTTCCTCTATCAGATAGAGAAGAAGGACCGCTTCGCTGCCTGGACCACTGTCCCGCTTGTGGTCAGAGTGATCCTCGTCGTCCCACGAAGCAAGTTTGCGATCTTGGAGAAGATATCGGCGGAAATCGGCACCCCGACGCTCCATTGCGAGACGCGTGGCAAGTGGTCACACAACATCTTCACTGGAATACATGCGGCCTTTGGCACGGTCATTTCTGCCGGAACGAAGAATAGCCCGCGTGTCATCTTCAAGGAAGACCCTGCTGGATGGAAAGGCACGGCGCCTGTGGTCGTGTCGTTTACCGTCTCCGCTGGCCTCCTCAACTTGGAAAACGCGCGGGACACGCAAATCTGTCTTTCAGTACGAGAAACACCAGCGTCAGCAATTACTCTTACCAAATACCTCGGATTCGGGAAGCACATTGTTTTTGGAGCGGGATTACTGGACCAAGAGCATGTCCACATCTTGCCTCAGAATCCCTATCCTAGCCCTCGCTTGTCTCCGCTGACACCTTCTTCTGCATTCGGTATCGGGAGGGCGGATCCTGTTTCGATCGACCTGGACGAGGAGTGCGAGTTGATCCGCCAGTTCACGGCGCGAGTCCAAGTCGAGAACGGCGCAGCCCGAGGCGAGTTTGCGGGAGGCAAGATGCCCGACATATCGCAGCCTTCTCCATGTGCGATGCGGCTTTCTATCGGCGCTCACGTCCAACAAGTCGTTTTCCCGTATCCCATCATTGGATCACAGAACAGGATGCGATTGGCCAGAAAGTCGGGCTACATTGAGGTGAAGGAATGATACTCATAAACGCGTTGCTGGACTGACACTCGAAAGATCATCGTTCCTCCGTCTGGTCCATTCACACAAGATGGGCTGAAGACGAGTCCCTTTGCCGTAGTCGGAAGCGTTGGACATCTACGTTCGTGGAACATCCATCGCATCAATCTAGACAAGTCACCCGCGATCGCTTCCGCCAAACACATCAAGTCGAGCTTGACTGTGCATCTGGGAACCACCATGTCAAGCAGAGAGCGTGACTTGAGGAAGAGACACGAAGAAACCGACGCGCTTATGTGCATCAAAGAAAGCCTTAACATCATCTTTGCCACGACACTCGCACTGCAGAAGAACCAGTCGTCGACCAGAACTTTCGCGTTGATTTCAAAAGACACCAAAAATTGCGACACCGTCTTCTTCATCGACACGGCGCGTCTGGATGTTTCTTCGCACACGATTCTGTGCGATGGATATGTTGTTCCGCTCACTGAAGAGATCATCACCACCCCAGCGTTCGCGCGACTTGTCAGCGGCCAGATGTGCCGAATCGCTGCACCGGCGAGTGAGCTTTCGGCTTGGAAGCAGCTGTTTCCCGCTCTTGTCGAACGATGCCGGACTTGGCAACACACTGATGCGTGCGAGTACCGGACCTCCGCAGGCCTGTGTGTTCCTGTCACGACCAAGGTTGATCGCACTCCCCTGTGCAGCTGTGGCAAGGGAAAGGATGTACAGGCCCTGCGTGGCATATCGGGGTGGGCCGAGCTCGCGCCCCACGCGACGCGCATGGCACTGTCTCCGCTATTTGCCGTTTCGTATCTCGAAAGAGTAGGCCGGGATCCAGCGGCCGGCCGATGCTCCGTGTGCAGAGGAAAGGGAAAGCCGAAGATGATGAAGTGTCCTTGCGCAAAAGTCAAGTATTGTTCGAGAGAGTGCCAGAAGAGGGATTGGGCTGTTCACAAAGTCGTGTGCACTCGGTCCTCCAACTAGCAAAGATAATCTCGATCGTGAAAGCACTACCACATGAAAGAAGTTCATCCGCTAGTCTGATCCGGCGTAGGCGCCTGATGGAACAAGCACCCATCGAAGTTAAGGGTGAGCCACGACAATAAATGAGAGAGCCTGTAGACAGTCACATTTGCAAACGAACCAGGCCCACCGGTGTTTCGGGAACGAGCCGTCGCGTACAGGCGGGATAGATCTTCGGAGCTGTCGTTTTCAGAACACATGAGCCGGCTCGTTAGATCAGGACGTGAATTGATTGTTCTCCTACGGTCGACCGCTCACTGGATCGGTCTAATGGTTTCTTCCTGGTTGCTCGGAGAGGCCCAATGTCCAGATCGATTACGTGGAGACGTGCCGGATCAGGTCCGCCTCGTGATGATGTCATGTCCCTGTGTCAGCATCGACCGCAATCGAGCCCTCTTGGGAAGCCCTGCGGCAATGGCCCTGAGGTTCAATGCTCCGTTTTGCCACGGATCGTGACGCGTCGCCCTTTGCCGCCTTTTCGTTCGTCATAAAAGCAGACATCCGCCTTCTCCAGGTCAGATCCAAACTTCCTTTCCTCCTCCATGGTCCAACAGTCAGTTAAAATAGCCGGCACCTCTGTGTCTCGTATCGGAGTGCGTACCACAATTTCCTTCGACGCAAGCATAGTTTTCAGGTGCTAACATTCCATCTGTAGCATGGATTGATGCTCATGACGTGCGCCGTCCCATCGATGGACAAACGATCCTCACTGACATCATCGTAGCTGGGTGCCCAACCCCGTCCCCGACGAGCAATGCTTCGAGGCAATCAAGGCCGGAATCGACGCGCTCCCTGCGGGAACCAAGGCGTTTCTGAACTCCGGTGCGTCGTGTCGCGCCCGGTCATTGGGCATGTAGCTCAACAATTTCAGGCTCCTTCTACGCTCAGGACTTCGGCACTGGGAACCTGCAGATGCTTTCTCGCTTCTTCGCCAAGTATCCCGATTACGCCGACAAGACCTTCCTCTCGGTGAAAGGTGCCGCTGGGATGCAAGGTCCCAACTGCTCGTGAGGATACAACTCTAAGCTGTCGGCCAGCCTGCTCAGTAACGATTTCGGTAGCGAGGAGAATCTTCGTTCCGAGATGGAAAAGATCGCTGGCGCGCTCGGGCCCATCAAGAAGATGGATCTCTTTGAGCCTGCACGCGTCGACACCCACCGTCCGATCGAAGAGACCATGAAGACCTTGGCCACGCTCGTTAAGGAGGGCCACTTCTCCCATATCGGTATCTCGGAGTGCAACGCAGACACCTTGCGCAAGGCCCATGCCGTACGTCTTACCATCTCTTGTGCGCATATATGCTTCTCTGTTACAGGTGCACCCCATCGCGGCAGTCGAGATCGAGATCAGCCCTTTCTCCTACGACCATAACCAGAAGAAAGTGCTCGCCGCCGCCGCCGAGCTCGGTGTTTCCGTCATTGCCTACTCGTGAGCGGGTCTGCTGGAGTTCATTCCTCCCGAGCTCACCAGCACCACCAGCCCTCTCGGACGTGGTCTGATCGCTGGAAAGTACAAGTCGGCTGCGGATCTCGATGGTACGCTCAGCTGTGCTGCGTAGATCCCGATCGTCCTCATCCCTGTTCAGCGGGCGACATGCGCCAAAACTTCACCCGATTCAAAGATGAGGCTATTCTGAAGCACAATGGGGAGATCGTCGAGCAGCTCAATCAAGTGGCGGAGAAGCGTGGAGTCACCACTGCTCAAATTTCAATTGCCTGGGTTGCAGCCCTGGGCCCGAACGTCATCCCTCTTCCTGGATCATCGTAAGTGATATTTTGTGCACATAACAGGCGCAGATCAGCTGATTCGGTCTACAGGAAAGTGTCGCGTACCCTGGAGAACCTTGGAGCTGGCGACATCATCTTGACTGAAGAGGAACTGAAGCAAATTGACCAGATTCTCGCCAAGGGCGCCTTGGGTGATCGGTACTGGGGAGCACCGGACGAGAAGGCACATCTCTGGGGTTGAATAACTTTCAACGAGAACAAAATGTATTACATCAATTCCTGAGATAGATAGTGTTCCACACCATTGCAATGAGAAATGACATGCTTCAACTCACCGGGCACCAGCTCCGATCGAAAGTATCGGCCTTTACTGGACGGAGATCTCCGTAGGATCTAGTCAATCGATTCAGGGCGCGGTAATCCGAAGTTTATTTAGAGATAAGTACATAAGATACACAATAATTCCATGACTCAAATTCTGGACACTTTCAACAGAACTCACAATCCAAATGCTTTGAACAGTTCCCGAAGCCTGTCAGAGGGGGATAAATCGCGGTCAAGCGACGGATGAAGTGGTTCAGAAGAGTCGTGCTTGAGGACGATGGTTAAGGGGGTGCCCAATTCTTCAGCTTCCAGATGGGGAAGAGCGCTTCGAGAATGTCTATGGTGCACGTGCCCTTGTCACTGCCACTTTGTGACAGGACCGGAATCTGGTCAGAAAATTTGCAAAAATAAAATGGTCGGGAAAGCATCAGAAATGGTTCAGATTGAGTGCAGATCAAGTGGAAAGACACATTTTATGCATAGAAGCCTGAAAGAGGTCATATTTGTCAGCAAAAGTGGTGACTTTGGCGTGACTTCTAGTCACATTTCGTGACATAACGTGACAGAACCGGAATCGGGGTGTCAATCAAAACATCAACTCCCTCAGTTTTGAAGCAATTAATTATCCCTCTTACAGATTTGTTCTACACCTCAAACTGAGTGTTTCTGTAAGACAGATAAGAAAACAGACGCTTCTGTGACACACTGTGACCCTTGTACAAAAGTGGTAGTGTTAAGGGCACATGCACCATAGGGCTTGTTGAGCAGTCGGCCGGAAATCTGGATTTGATTCAGTCATTTGCTGAACAAGATCCTGTATCGGCTCAGCCCCGTTCCAAAGCTAACAGTGCTGATGACCAGAATGAATAAGTGAGAAGAGGATAGCACTTGCCTCCATCAGATTCCTAAAGACATTCCCCAGTCGATAGATATCAAGCTTGAATGAATTGTAAGAGATTTTGTCTCAAATTTCCGGAGCCGATCTGTCTTGACCGTAGACCGTGAGTGACCGGCATCCTCGATGCCGGCCTCGTAGAACCAGGATCCCCCAAAGTCAATAAAATAATATTTGGCCCCTTCGACCGATAATCGTTATCGGACGACCGTAGGCTTCCGCATCGCGTCCTCTGTGCTTTGCCGAATGTGGTGCCAGCCGCCAGGAATGAATGACCACACGTCCACAGCCAGGTTTCTGCGGCAGATATCTCTACAGCTTCTCTGCATCGCAAATGCAGACGAGTAGGTAGCATCTTACCCGTGAACGAAACCGCGCGAATGCATAAATACGAGTCCGTACGCCCCGCCGAGAGTCCCATCGCAGTTGGAGAGGAAGGAAATAACCTCTAGAAATCGATGAAATGCTTCGAGGACCTCGACGAAGCACTCAAAGAAGGGATTATCGAAAATGCGGAGCATGGGCATCACAACCAGAGCTGCCTCATCGTCTGGTAGGGGTATGATCTTCAGCAGAGGTACTGTGCGGTTCTTCGTATCGGATTGATTTTTCGGAAGTGTTTGCCCGAAAATATGAAGAATCGCGAATTCAGCATCCTGGGTCCTCACACGCTTCAAGACAACTGTCGTCCCGTCGTAGACCCGCACAGCATCGAGTGCCTTTGCGTTCAAGTTCTTCGCGCTGATCAAGATGTGAAAACACAAGCACAGTCGGTCCGACATACTCGGTGACACGAAGCGAAATCCTCAAATTCTGCCGGCTATGTGTCGTGGTTCTCGGGAAGTTCCCACGAAGGCGTCCAAGTGGGTGAATAGCGTGGGCGGAGCGCATAGCCCCTCTGAAGGAGAAAAGGTTGGTGATCTACCCACCATTGCTCGGGGCACTGTATTCTGCCAAGATTGGCGAATTTCTCCCGGAGATCTGGGGCGATAGTTTCACGTGTATCTGGCTCCACGGTCAGTCGAGCGGTTTGTGGGTGCGGTTGTTGACGTCTGTCTATACTTATCAAGTACGCTTGTCATCACTCATGAGTCGCTGCAATCTAATTCTCGCATTCGCCGTCCGCTGAGTCGTTCTTGACGGACGAATCTCAAATCGGGCCTCGGGACCTTTACCAAATACCAAATCGTTCTCTCCGCGATGGCTTCGAGTCATCGGCCCTTGAGACACACACAATGGCGCCACGCGACCATTGATTGAATCTACTTGAAGAGCGCAAGACTCACACTCAATGGACTCCCCACTCATCCCTCCCACTTTCCCTCTACATACCTGCGATCTTTCCGTGGCGCCATGAAGAGCTTACTGAAGAAAGTCTCAAAGCCTCGTCTCAAGCCGCAAAGACCGCAAGACTGGATCGGAACTGCACGAAACTTTGTTTACAACATAATCAACGACAGTGCGAGGGAAAGTAACGTGAGGCTCGGGGCGGAAGATGGATATCTATCCACTAGAGAGTCAGTTGCTACTTTGTCTCGCTTGATGGATAGAGCTCCAGGCTGAGTGCCTATGCTCAGATTGTCCAGGCGCATTGACGCTGTCGAGAGTCTGGGCGCAGCGTTGGATATGAACACGGCTGAAAAGATTCTCAGAGATGCTGAAACAGCTTGGAATGAACATCGGGTGTGTATTAGTGTACGACGGTTTCAGCTTTGAATCTCATGCTAGGCCAGTCGTCAAGCCAGTCTCTCAGAGACGCTCACGATCTGGCCCTCGCGAATCGGCCTTCACCACTTAATCGGGAAGAAATGTTCCGCAGAACTGCAGAAGAGGCCGCAACAACATTCGCTTCCCCGCCTGGGCCTGCGTCGCGGGGTCGTGAATTGCGATATGTATCGCATCTCACGCACGCCCCCCTCCACCGACGAGTCCCCAACATCAATTCTCAGCAAGATCTCATTGGCGGAAAGTTCGCTACTAGTAGTACGACACCCCCGACTCGTTCTCCGTACGAGCAAGGTCCATATTCCCAGTGAGTTCACCTCATCTTTACCCACATCATACGAGCTGAATCTGAGCGGGAACCCAGGTCGCCTTAAGATTACCAGGTACCTTCTAGGCAACAGTCACACCAGTATCATCTGAATCGTTCTGCGAACCAGGCGGACCCTCACCCTTACCTGCAACCAGCCGGACAGGGCCATTCACCTTACCCGCCGCCTGCATCTCAACCGTACCACGGTTATCCTCAGCCAGTAGACCATCGTGTCCATCAGCAGCAGCTCGCCGATCTCCAAGCGGGATACTCTCAGTCGCCGCCGCCACGGGGTGGATATCCCCAGCCTAGTCATCCTCAGCAGTCCGGGTTTCTTCAGCGCGGCCATTCTCAGCAGTCGGGGCATCTACAAACCGGCTATCCTCCCCCACCTCAGCAGGAGTATCCCCAGTCTGGCTACCCTTTTTCTAGCTACCCTCCCCAGCCCGTAGTTTGGCCATCTGAGCAGTCGCACGACCCAGCTGCCCTGGCGCAGTACCGTGATGGGCTCCTCTACCACGAAACCGAGGTCAGCTACGTGGACGACGGATCCGGGCCATCCTCTGGTCGTCGTCAGCGGGCTGCTCCTGCTCGTCGTCGTCATTAGGGCTTCCGGGATGTTTGAAATGTGCGTCGGCCATGCTCACGAACCTGCCCATAATTTCCGGTTGTTTTTGTTGACATGTTTATCCTATCGTTTTGTATGTCAAATACCAATGTATGTGCGACCTCCGACCTACTGCTTGCATGAGAGATCGAGAAAACTTGGAAAGCTCTCCGTATCCCCAGGATCACGAGGCACTTGCTTGTTGTCAACGCCGAATCTTTCAGTGCTCACGAAATCCAGAACACACATGCTAAGCGAATAATCTACAAAATGACATGGACGGGTGTTGTGCAAAAACTAGATAGATAGAGGATGGATGGGACGTGGCACGCCTAATCCCACGACGGCGAAGTCGAATACGCATGCGTCCGCCCGTTGTTCGTCGCCGGATTCGTGGAATTGGCCTGCCCAGGACTCGACGGACTCCACGACGGCGAAGTCGGACTGTACGCCGGCGATGCCGGAGAATAGGCTGGCGCTGGTGGCACTGTCAGTAACAGGAATAAGAAGCAACGACCAAAGATCAACTCACATGCTGGAGAGTAGGTCGGCGATGTCGGGGAGTACTTGGGTGATGTTGGCGACGCCTGTGGTGACGTCGGCGAGTACTTGGGCGACAACGACTGGTTTGGGCTCGTCGGAGAATCTGGCATCAAGGTCAATAAAAGGGATCAACCATTGAGGAACAACTCACATCGCGGACTGGTCGGACTGAAACTTGGACTGGTCGGACTGTACCGGGGACTGGTCGGTGAGAAACTCGGGCTCTGCGGACTGTATCGCGGACTTGTCGGGGAGAAGTTCGGACTCGTCGGCGAATATCGCGGACTCGTTGGACTGTAGTTCGGGCTCGTCAAGTTGATCATCGGACTCGTCGGACTGTACGTAGGACTGGTCGCAGCAGCCCGGCCGCCATTCGACCGATCGTAGAAGGGCGAGGTTGCGTAGGGTGATGTGCTCGAAAACGGTGACGTCGCAGTGGCCCCAAACGGCGACTGGGGAACATACCCCGGGCTCGTCGGAGAATACATGTTCGGCGACGATGGACTGTAGCCAGCGGGCCCAGGTGACATTCCTCCATCATGTGTGGGTGTCGAGCCCCATCCGCCGGGAAGTCCACCGAACGAGCTCGGGCCGTCGTCAGCACCGTTGACCGCTAGCGGCGAGAACGCTGCCTGGTCGGCCTTGAAAGCGCTGTCTTGCCACACGGGCGAATTCGTGTCATACGGGGTCATCGCCACTTGGCCAGGAGTCATCCCTCCGTCGTGCGACACGTTCATCAGCGACTGTACAGGTAGCCGGTGGTCCACAATCGCATCCTTGAGCATGTCGATGTCCAACGCGACCTCGAAAGCACCCGTCCCCATAGGCGCCATCTGCCCAAACATCACGTTCTCCGCAATCCCATGACAGTCGTCCTTCTCTCCGACAGCAGCTGCCTCCATCAGAATCTCCACAGTCTCCTCGAAAGAGCAGCGCATCAGCGCGCCCGTGTCCGCCCGATTGATGCCGTGTCGCGTGATCGCCATTAGCGAGCCCCGGTGCGTCATTAGATCGCACAGAATGGCAAGATGCCGGTAATTCACGTATGATCCATCGAACTCGATGACTCCACGAATCTCCTTCAGGATCGCTGCTCGCGCTGCCTCGATGCCCAGCACATCGAAGATTTCCACGCAATTGTTCGAGTACGTGCGCTTGTAGTCCACACCGTCGATGCACATCACCGTCTTCAGATTGATCCCGTCCGTCTCTAGCACCCATTCCGCCTTCTTCCGTAGCGCCAAGCTCCCGTCGTCCTGCGTCACAACCTTGTCGTGTTCCAGCAAGAACACCTTGCGAATGTCCTTCACACCGCGCAAGCTCACCGAATTCAGCATCGTGTTCTCGAGCTGCCGCAGGAAGATGTCCTCCTCCACAGACTCCAGCCCATCATCATCCTTTGCCCCACCGCCGAGCACTCGGCATCGGATAATCAGCTTGTCCGAGTTATCCTCGCTCCAGATGACAAACAGATCCTGCTTGAAGCTCTCCGCGATTCGGCTTGCGACATAGTGCATCGTCAGCTTCCCCACCATCTTCGTCCGATTCAGCTCCAACCGAAGCAGCCACGGGCTCTGCAGGTGCAGCTTGGCCTCCACGTCCTCATCCGGAATGGCAAAGAAGTCCTCCACGAAACTGGCATCCTCCTCGATGATCGTCGAACTTGGATCCGGGTCGTACCAGATCTCCACCGCGCTCGTCACCGTGCGCAGAGACGTATACTCGAGTTCGTGTGCGACATTTTGCGCAGACTTGGAGTCACCCGAAATGCTGGGATCCAGATACACTGTCAGCGAGGGCGTCTTGATGTTGGTCGCAACATTGATGATTTCCTTCAGACGGGGTACACCAAGCGTCACGTTCTTGCTCGACACACCGGCATAATGGAAGGTGTTCAGCGTCATCTGCGTCGCCGGCTCACCAATCGACTGCGCAGCAAGCGTCCCGCACATCTCGCCTGGGTTTGCAATCGACTGATTGAACTTGGACTCCACCTCGCCAAGCACCCAGTCGAACGCTTCCCGCGTCAGATGGTGCTTCTCCAGCACGGGTCGAGAAGCAAACGTCGAACGGAGATGCATCCGGAACCGTAGCACCGCGTTGTCCTGAGCCTCGCGGCTCAAAGGATCGTCGCCACGAACAATGATCAACCTCTCGCCCAGTCCATGCACTGCATCCACAATGTAAGCGGGCTCGAGGTCGCTCGGTTTCCTCCGGTCGATGTGGAAGATCTGCGTCGCATTTTGTATGATGCGGTAGAGATTGACCGGCAGATAGAAGTTCGTCGTCGGATCGGCGCGGGGGAAAACAAAGCCTCGTAGCATCCGTCGATCAGTGCTCAACCGATCGAACTCCTCGTCCAGCTTCGCCTGCAACTCCAACGAGCTGTCATCCACCCCGACCTGCAACACACCAGGCAGATACCCGCCTTTCTCGCCAGTCACATCGACACGATAGTTGTGCTCGAACGTCGCCTCGTCGATAGAGAATGTGTCGATGTTTTGCTTCTCGATGAAAGCACCATCCATCCCGTCTTCTCCGTACACGAACTGGATCAGGTCGCCCAAAGAATTGCGCACAGTACCGTCGTAGCAGACCATAACGTCCTCGAGGGCCTTGACAAGTCGCCGTTGGATGTAACCTGTCTCTGCCGTCTTGATGGCTGTATCGATCAGACCTTCACGACCAGCCATTGCGTGGAAGAAGAACTCCTGGGGAGTGAGGCCGCGCAGGTACGAGTTCTCGACGAATCCACGAGCCTCGGGACTGAAGTCATCCTTGGCAAAATGGGGCAACGTCCGGTGACGGAATCCAAACGGAATCCGTCGTCCTTCCACACTCTGCTGACCCACACACACGGACATCTGCGAGATATTGATGAAAGATCCCTTTGATCCGGCAACGACCATCTGCTTGACATTGTTGTCCTCCTTCAAACTCTTCTGCGCGTGCTGTCCAGAGTCGTCACGAGCCAGATTGAGCTGTCGCTCAACCATGCTCTCGAAGGACTCCCGAATTGTCATACCCGGTAGGGGCTTCAGCCGATCCTGACTTGCATCCTCGATGATCTGCTTCACATTCTGCTTGCACTCGGCGATCTTCTTGGTGATGAACGACATGGTCCCCGGGTCCGCAATTGTGTCCCCGATGCCGATGCTGAATCCGTTGTGGAAGAGCCAGTAATTGACCACCATCTGCAACCCGCTGAAAAGCTGCTTGGTCGCCTCGGGACCCTTCTCTCGGAACACTACATGCACCAATCCACCCTGGGCCGCACCGACTGTCTTCTTCTCCACAGTCCCGTACATGATCTCGCCGTTCTCGATCAACATGCCGTCGTCGAACACCGGATGCGACTTGTTCTTCTTGTCGTCAGACCCACGACTGATGTTGATACCCTTGGGAATCACCATCCCCAAGATCTGCTTGCCCGTCCAAAGTGGCTTGGGCTTGAGAATAGTCGGAATTGGGACGAGACCGTCCCAGTCAGGGACCCATAGTAGGATGTTCTGGACCTGCTTCCAGTCGAGGAAGGTGTCGCGAAGGGTAAACTTGCGGATGCCACAGAGTGTATCTTGCACGATACCCATGACAGGCTTGTTAGCTTGGGGGGAGATGATCTAGCAAGGTTTAGCATATTATCACCAGATAGCAAGACTGCATACCTGACGCGGCACCCATGCGATCTGACTCAGTTCTGCACGAGTTTCCTCGCTTTGAGGCACATGCATGTTCATCTCGTCACCATCGAAATCAGCGTTGTAGGGGGGAGTACTAAAGCCCGGTGAGAACCTGGTAGTCTCGTTCCAAGTTCGGCTTACACAGAAAGGTTCAGTCGGAAAGCTGTCATATTTGTTAGAACGACACTCCAATAACCAAGGATAAAAACATACTCGAGTAGGGCATCAATTTGACACGGTGACTCATCATACTCATCTTGTGCAGACTGGGCTGACGATTGAACAGAACGTAGCTGGAGAGTGTCAATCGATAAACCAAGCTCGTAGGATTTCACGTACTCTCCGTCCTTGAGATGTCGTTCGACAATCCAGCCGTATTGTAGGAAGGCGTCCGCTCGTTTATTATACCGCAGATCAATACGCTCTCCAGTATCGCGTACGACATATCGAGCACCAGGATAGTTGGTAGGGCCGTTTTGAACAAGCTCTTGCAGATAAGAGATGTTGTATGGGGTAACTAACCCATAATGTCAGCCGTTTGCAAGAGCGCCAAGAGATTCACACACCTCGTTCCGGATAGGTCAAGTTCATGGCTATAGAGCGAGGTACTCCAACTTGGTCCAGATCCAGATTAGGGTCACCCGTAATGACAGTCCGGGCCGAGAAATCAACACGCTTGCCCATCAGGTTGCCCCGCAGTCGACCTTCCTTGCCCTTCAGTCGGGCTCGGATCGACTTCACGGGACGTCCAGACTTCTGCAGTGCTTGAGGGATACCTGCAATGTCGTTGTTCATGTAGGTTGCAACATGGAACTGCGATTGATGAGATTCGGGAATGTCGTTCGCGTTCAGAGCAAACACATACCTGCAACAATTGCTCGAACTCAGAGATAACGTGAGCAGGTGTGCCTTCACTTTCACAGCGTCGAACATTCGCAGAGGCTTTGATGATGTCCCCGAGCTTGTACGTCAGATCATCTTCACTTCGCATCGCGCCACCATCCACCGCGATACTAGGGCGTACTGGGGGCGGGGGCACGGGCAGCACAGTCAAGATCATCCACTCTGGTCGCGCATATTCATCAGACAACCCAAGCAGGTGAAGATCAGTATCCGATATCTTTTTGAGAGTAGTGTAGATATCGGAAGGAGTGAACAGTCGCTTGTCAGGCTGCATCGACTTGAGCTCCTGCACAGAAACGTGTCAATGACGACATTAGCGAGAGGCAAATGCCCACAGACATCATCATCGTCCTTGGGTCGTTTATACTGAGCGAAGAACTTGAGAGCCTCCTTTCTTATCTGCGGCTGAACGTAACCACATCCTCCGTGTCCCTTTTTGGGCTCCTCGGCATCAGGTTCCTGGTTCTCCTCCTTCGGATCATCAGCCTCGCACGTCATCTTGCCCTTGCAATGCGCCCAAACCGCGGCCATGCGCTTCTTGGGATCACGGATACGTCGAACCTTGTCCGCAAAGCTGGGGTCCGACTTACGATTGAATGTCAGCATACAAGTCTACATTCAACGCAATCGAACAACAAAGTAAGGTAGTGCAGAGATTGAAATTCATCGCATGTGACGCCTTGAGCGTCGTTTGCATGTTTTTCGCACTCCTCGTTCGGCCCCCCATTTCACCACACAAACTCGCGCCAGACCGACACCAGGCTACCGACGCGGCGATCAAACGATCGAAAACGCGCGCCGGCAATACCATGGGCGGCGTGACACCTCGAGAATCGAGGGACTGACGAGATGTGGGTTTGGGGTTCACCACGGTGTGGAGAGAGCCCCCAGAAAATTGGGATGGTGGGGGTGCGAAACGAGTAGAGGAAATAGATATGCGACTCACGATGTCCGCTTTGAGCTTTCCACAATTTATGCAAATACACTCCAAGATCTTCTTGACTTTCAAGATGAAGCCTGCCCGAATGAGTGCCCTGGCACGGTGAAAAAACTAAACCACGCACCTGGATGGAAAACAGGTCGAGCTAATTCAATGTGGCCGAAATGACCTGGACACTCGGACATCCCCTCGCCACACGTCTGGCACTTGAAGTTGCGATCGATGGTGCCCATCCGAGGATCCATCAGTCCACCCATCTTGGGTTTGTGAGTGGTCTCGTCCATGACTTCAGGATGCTCAATTTTGGCGACAGAGTAGGCTTTCTGCATGACGTATTAGTACAAAGACGGGTAGGCAGGGATTCACCACGCACAATTTCCTCAGGGGAGAGGATACCAAACTGGACCTCCTTCACTTTCCGGACAGGAGCCGCGGAGTACGCGAACTGGTGGCCGAGCATGGTGACGAGGGGAAGAGCGCTTCAGATATGACACGAAAACGGGGAGCGACGGCGCAGGGAGGTCCAAGAAAGGTCGAGCAGAAAGTCGAGACGGTTCCAGGGTGTGTATTAGCGCGTTGATAGAGGGTCTGAGCGGATTTTTATTGTGCTTTGAACCACTTGCGAAAGCAGACAAAAACGGGTGCAGGCGGCGTGGAGGACGCCGGATCAGAGCGTGAGAAGTACTGTCAGCGAAGACAGCAGTAGACGGGTTCAGAGAGACGCTCTCGAGCGATATGAACGAGGTTGAGAAGAGTGGAGTAAGACGTGGTCGGCGTCGAGGACAACCAACAAACCTGAGCAATTGAAACTCCGACAAGGAACAGAGGCAAACAATCGGGTCCGCGCGCACAGCCATCTTTATGACTACACGCGTCCCGTGCGTGTCGCGCCGATAACTCAGAGGGCTAGGGACAAGCGTGCAATACTCTCGTCAGAAAATAGTGTGCGAGCCGTCATGAGTGGATTGGGGACTTGTCGTACATAAAGAAGTATCGAATTCTAGTGGCATCAGTCACCATCAAATTGGGCATCAAGGGGCCTCGTGACTTCTTACCACCATCATCTCCCTCGGGTGATGACGGACGGTAAAAGAAAAACGAGGCTCCCCACGCCGCAGCGGGCGGTGGGGACTCAGCGCGAGTACCGGCCGAGATTAAAGGCACCTCGAAATGAGGATGGGTTGGGATTACCCGGAAGTGCAGTGTGCACGGTACGCAGTACGGCGACTTCGTAGAGGTCAATAGGAATATGAATCGTTTCACTACACCCTACAGCCTGAATGGCTCGCACACCACTCTCCCCCTCAATCCCTCATCCCTCCCCCCCGACCAAGCCCTCATCGACGCTGACACGAACGCCGCACTGTCAACACTAGGGAGCCACGTCACGCGCTTACGACACAACACGGGAACGGCAAGCCAGTGGGGGACTGCGACCAAAGACGCCATTACGGAGGGATGAGCACCATGCGGGATGATACTCTGCTACCCGGCGACACCACTGGCGACGCGCCACTCCACACCACTCCACACCCGCCGACCCCGCTTATACCTCTCCGCTCAACGCGCTCACCCGAAATACTCTCTAAGACGACTCTCGACAACAACTTTCGATGACACCTCTTGACGGCAACACTTGCAGAGCTACCACGACATCTCGAGGCTCACACGGACCGCAACCTCACATCCGACAATCTTCGATCTCTACTGTCGAGCGTCCGACCACCTGGGTCTGGGCCCAGAAGAAGACGCGACGAGGACCGCGCAACCCGAACCCGCCACATCTACCGACTGTTCTATTTGGGAGCAGGACGGGAAACGGGGGAGGGAACGCGTTGTCGGATGAGGTCGATCCCTCGTCTGATAGCGCCGCAACAGCGCGACCTATTTAGGTCGGGGTGCGCTGGCCAGCAGTCCTGGCATGTCGGGGGAGATGAATGCGACGCGTGCCCGAGACACGGTTGGCGCTCCCCCGACAACCCCAAAGGTGAGACTTCACAGCGCCGATCTTAGCGGGAAACGCGCTGTGTCTCTTTGGCTGGCTACTGAAAATCTACAACAACCATCGCAAGCTCGGCGAGATGAGCAACGGCAAGACTTCGACGACACACAGACACAGGCATTGGGAGCTGGAGGACGCCATGGCTCCGCCACCGGCCAGGGTCGATCTGAAGAAGGCAACCATGGAGGAGGGGAACAGGCAAACCGTCGCCCGGAGGCAGACCGGGACGACGACCCACTTCCCCGAGAGGAGAGGGCGGCGTCTCGGCGAGCCGATGACGGGCTTCGGGGCGCAACTCTGGATGCAGCGGGCAGACCAGGGGGCACAGACAGAAGTGCTACTGCGCAGCGCGCGCAGGGGAACGGACAGCAGTTCCCACCCCAAGACAACGGGGACGCAGTACGCGGAAATGCCAGAATGGCAGATGGCCGGAGAGCCAATCAAACTCAGCAGCGAGTGTATCCTGGACCAGCAGGGCCGAGAGGCAATGGCAGCAAAAAGAACATGAGAGCTGCGCTCAAGATAGCAGCGTTAAATATACGCGGACACGGGAATCTGAATGTACATCACCCATCCAATAAGTGGTTTGGATTATGGCAGATAATGCGCGAAGAAAAAGTCGCCGCGCTCGTAGTTGGGGAAGCACACATGAACAGAGAACGGAAAGACGACATAGATAAACTATTCGGGAGAAAAATGAAAATCTTCTACTCAGAGAACCCTCGCTCGGCGAATTCAGCAGGAGTCGCAATAGTAATAAACAAAAACATAGCACTGACGGAAGGGATACAGACACACGAAATAGTACCCGGCAGAGCAATGGTATTGCTGATGAAGAACGCGGATGGGACACCGCTCTCAATACTTGGTATATATGCACCAAACGACCCCAGAGAGAACGCCGAATTCTGGGAGAGTATTAGCAGATTCTTCGAGCGACACCCCAGGATACGCAAACCAGACATCATGGCAGGAGACATGAACGTGGTCGAGGCCGCGATAGACCGGCTCCCAGCGCATGAAGACAACAGCAATGCAGTGGATGCGCTGGACGACCTGAAAAGCAGGCTACAGCTGATAGATGGCTGGCGAGAGACATACCCAGACACGAGAGAATACACTTACACCCAACCTGCCAACCTCGGAGGATCGCTATCCCGGATCGATCGAATCTACGTGAAAGCCAACAGCTTCAACAACACATTTGAGTGGGGAATCAAACGGACGGGGATCGAGACAGACCACAACCTGATCTGGATAAAGAAGTCGACGGCAGAAGCCCCGACTATTGGACACGGAAGATGGGCTTGGCCAGCGTACCTGATCAAAGATAAACTGCTGGCAGAACACATCCACCAAGCCGGATTGGAGCTGCAAACAAGGCTAGAAAGGATGTCAGACAATGACTGGAACCCGACACAAAACGCGCAGACAGAATGGGCATCCTTCAAGAAGAAGTTGAACGAAAAGGCCAGAGACCGTTCAAAGGCCATTGTCCCAAAGATAATCCAGGAGATTGCAGAAGTTGAACTGCAACTTGAGAATGTGTTCCGTGACGCAACAATGCCCGAGGACGAGAAGAACCTGAATGCGGCGGTTCTGATCGAGAAACTCACAGGACTACAAAAGAAGAGATACCGCTCCTCCCGACTGAGCGCACAAATACAAAACAGACTCCATGGTGAGATAATCGGACGCTACTGGTCAAAGATTAATAAGCCAAGCAAACCGAGAGACATCATACCTCGACTGGCAAAGCCGCTCAGGGATGGTGAACCCGCCAATGCCACACAGTACGAGACCAATTCGAAAGAAATGGCAAATCTAGCCAGAGATTACCACGACAAACTTCAAGAAGATAGACAACGCACCGACCCCGATGAACGCGAGCAGGTAACAACCCGCGTGCTAGGAAGGACCCAGACCCAAGCAACGGAGGAGCAGAACACCAAACTCCGGGCGCAGTTGACACACGATGATGTGGAAGAGGCATTGAAAAGCTCGGCGAACTTCAAAGCCCCCGGCCTGGACGGGATCCCATACGAACTCTGGAAAGTCTTGAATGACAGATGCCACACCGCAGAGAGTCTGGAGAAACCTGCATTTGACGTGCTGGAAGTCCTAAGGAAAGTGTACAACGACATTGAAAACCATGGCATGGTACGAGGAACAAACTTTGCCGAAAGCTGGATGTGCCCGTTATATAAGAAGAATGACAAGACAAACATCGCAAATTACCGGCCGATCTCACTCCTCAACACTGACTACAAGGTGTTCACTAAGGCGCTTTCAATCAAACTGGCAAAAGTAGCACCAGAGCTGATACATCCGAACCAAGCTGGTTTTGTACAAGGAAGACAAATAAAGGATCAAATCTGGCTGACAAAGCGGATCATTGAACTGGCCGAAGCCACCGAACGGAATGGAGTAATCGTTGCCCTTGACCAAGAGAAAGCCTATGACAAAATTGAGCATGACTACCTGTGGAAGGCCCTAAAGAGCTATGGAATACCTGACGAATTCATAAATACTGTAAAGAGTCTCTACAGTGATGCTCATACATATGTAATACTGAACGGCGAGAAGAGCAGACAACCCTTCCGAGTTACGCGAGGCGTTAGACAAGGAGACCCGCTGTCTTGTCTCCTCTTCAATCTGGCTATTGAGCCACTAGCAGAAGCCCTCAGGCAATCAGATCTGAAAGGGATCAAGATCGCTGGAGTCCCCGAGCGACTCATCGCAACACTATTTGCAGATGACACTGTTGTATATCTCGACTGGCAGGACGACTTTGGTAAACTACTCGAGATTGTAGACGAATGGTGCATTGCATCAGGAGCAAGATTTAACATTAACAAGACGGAGATGATTCCAATTGGCAAGATTGACTATAGAGACAGAGTCAGAGCAAACCACTTTGTCAATGGAATCAACGGGACAATGATACCAGACCATGTGAAAATTGCCAGGGAAGGCGAGCCTGTGAGATGCCTTGGTGCTTGGATTGGGAACAAGGTAGAACAAGTGGACACCTGGAACAGGACAATTGAGAAAATCGACAACGCACTGGATCACTGGGACCAAGGAAACCCCTCAATGGAAGGTCGCAGACTGATCATCTTAATGGCAGTTGGAGGAATGACACAATACCTTGCCACGGTACAAGGAATGCCAAAAGAGGTCGAAGCCCGTCTGGAGAAACGGGTCAGGAAGTTTTTGTGGGCAGAAAAAGACCATCCTACAGTCAACCAAGAGATGGCCTATGCACCTGCAGAGATGGGAGGTCGAGATCTGTTTGATATCATCGCTCGCAACGAAGCAATCTCAATCATGTGGCTAAAGACATACCTGAACTTTGGCCCGGAGCGACCACTCTGGTGCTTTGTGACAGACGAGATCCTTGGCCACCACATATCGACCGACAACAACAGTGATACTGTCGAGAAGTCTGTGAGACTCAACTCATACCTCCAGACATGGAAACATAAAGTGACAACAAAGAAGATAGGAAGCGACCTATCACGAATGACGGAGATAGGATCCAAAAACGGCATATCACTTGATGCAATAGCTGTATCAAGAGAGATAATGGAAGGGATGCCCATATGGCACCACGCGAAATCAACAGCGCCAAGCGCCAGATTCTGGGCCACAAACAAACATGTTGTACAGTGCCTGAAGGAGAAGCACCATGTGAAAACGGTACGAGACGCACTCCTTCTGGCACGAAAACTGGGCACAGCACGCCACACAAACCGCCGAGACTGCAAATGCACCTCATGTCGAATCACGAAAGCAATAACACATTGTAACAACCCAAACCTATGCTTCCAGAAAGCAAAAGATATGCTCGACACGTTAGACCCAAAATGGGACCCAAGACGAGCCCAGCCGGAAGACCATGAAGACAACATGATTCCGCAGGTTGTTGAAACGCAGAACGGCGAGAAATCCCGGGACATAGACCAGAGGATAACCACAAAAGGAACAATCGCCGATGCATTCCGCATATTCACAGATGGAGAAATAAACCCGAGCCCAATGGCACCAATCAGAAAACATGCGCTCAACCCAGAAGACGAGACAGAGGAAATAACAATATTCACAGATGGATCGGCCATGCACAATGGTAGCCCAAATGCAGAAGCAGGATCAGGCATATGGTTTGGCGAAGGCGACGAGCGCAACAGAGCGCTGAAGGTCCCGAAAGAGTTAGGCCCATCAAATCAAGTCGCAGAACTACTTGCAGTCAAGGAAGCAATTGAAATGTGCCCACCAGGAGCCCCAATACACATCAAAACGGACTCCATGTACACAATCAATGCACTCACCACAGGCCTAACAAAAGCGGAGGACCATGCATTTGTCCTGGCGGATAATGGGGACCTAATTAAAACAACCATGACAAAGATCCGAGACAGACGTGCAAAAACGCGTCTAACGTGGGTGAAAGGACACTCAGGCATAGAAGGTAATGAGAAAGCAGACCGACTAGCTGACGAGGGCAGAAAGAAACCCAATCCGGACATCATCGACACCCAGATTGACACATCCTTTGTTCTCCCCGGGGCCAAATTGCAAGCAATGACGCAGTCATCAGCCTACAAGATTATCAGAAAAAGAAAGATGCAAGCAGAACAATACCAGGACGCGCTAGATAGAAAAGCGACCAGAAGAAATATGGAGATGGCTGTAGACGCAACGACGGAGGCCGGGAAAGAAGCCACAGAGGCACAAATATGGAAGTCGACACGACACAGAGATATCTCACGGAGTGTCCGCTACTTCCTCTGGATGCTATTACATGATGGATACAAGGTTGGACAATACTGGTCCAGAATTCCAGGACATGAGGAAAAAGCGACATGTACAAAATGCGGGGAAGATACCATCGAGACCATAGAGCATATCCTCTTTGTCTGCAAATCCCAAGCACAAGAAACAATCTGGGCGCTAGCCAACAAAATGTGGCAAATGAAGACAGGAGAGAGGCTAGAGCCTTCGAAAGGCAAACTGATGGCGTGTGGGACCCTGAAAGCAGGCAACGCAGGACGATCCCGACTCCTTCGGATCCTTGTTTCCGAATCTGCACACCTAATCTGGAGGATGCGCTGCGAAAGAGTGATTCAAGGCAAGGAAGAAGCCTCAGCGGCAGAGGCCAAAAACAGATGGCTCAACAAGATGAATACGAGATTGATAATTGATTGCGTGCTAACGAATACAGTGAAATATGGCTCGAAGAGCATTAAGTCTTCTCTGGTCCGGAAGACTTGGGCGAGAACGCTGTACAATGAGGTACACCTCCCTGATGATTGGACCAAGGGAGGCGGGGTTTTAGTGGGTGTCGGGTGAGTGGCAAGGAAGGAGCTGGTTCAACACCGGTTCCGGAGCCGCTTATCCCGAATCCCCACACAGACATCGCGGGAAACCGGATGTATCGTGTGATGGCAACTTTGGTTGCCGAGCACATTTCCTCGTGTGGTCGATCCTCTGTCAGGCTGGGTTCCAAGTCCAAGGCCTCAAAAATGACGGGTGGTGGGTTAACGACTATGTCGGGAGCCCTCCCACCTTTAACGTCCCACCAAAAAAAAAAAAAAAAAAAAAAATTGGGCATCAATATAGAAGTACACTTGGACTACTTGATAGTATTTACAGACAGGTCTAAAATTCAAGAATCGAAATCAGTCGATACATGACACTACAAGAGTGCGCCCAAGGGGGAAAGCTGAACTTAATCGAACGGTACACGACGGATCCCTTCACCGATGATTCGTGGGGCGGCCTTCTTTTCTACGTTCGCTGCAGCGAAGGCGCTCGGCACAGGTATGCCGCAACAGTCCCCCCACCCTTCATGCTTGTGTCCCGGCCCATGCCCGTGGCCGTCGTCTTGGCCATCGCCAGCAACAACCGGTCCTCCATACGGCAGCAACGAGCCGAATAAAAAGTGCTGGATCACGGGCAGTTTGCCCAGAACTTCGGCCTGGTACATCTTGACCATCCCAGAGTTGACCTTGTCCCAGCTTTTCACAGCAGAGATATCATCGAGCATTGGAGAATGCCAGCGTAACGATGCCGTCTTAATCTGGATCCGAAGTCAGGTCTCAAGACGTCCGGCCAAGGACCAGACATACTGAGTTGATGAACTGGATGCATGCAAAATAGATGTATTCCTTCGCGTATTCTTCTACGACCTCTGGATCATGGATTGCTTTGGGTCGTATGTATTTGTGACCTGGTTCTTGTTAGCCAACAGAATAACATAAACGCAGAGAATCAGACCTCGTAGTTGTGCCGCTCCGAACAAGAATGGAAGAAAGTGATAGTCGTCCAGCCCCCAGACACCGTGCGAGCCCGCAGGTTCAAGCCAGTACGTTGACTGCAGCACCCGCATGATCTGGATGTACCTATGGAGATTCTCGTCTCAGCAAAGGGAGCCCCTGGTGACTTAGGACCAACCTCCAAAACACCTTGGTCACAAGAGCTGTGTGATCCTTGTCTTGGAAAGCTCCCAGCTTCTCTAAACACAATCTATAGGAAGGGATCGAGGACCTCAAGGACACAATACCCAGGAACTTACAACCAACAGAGAAAGTTCAGCTCCATCCCGCTCCCATAATCGATACGTGTCCGATTGCCCCATGACTCGCAGAAGTATGCACCTAATTCAGAGCTCGATGTTGAAGAGATCGAAAGTTTATTGTGAAAAGTTGGATACAGCTTCGATATAGTAAGTCAGGCAGGGGGGCATTGGGTCTCAAAGGGCACCTCGGAAATGCGGTCGTAAAACGTCCGAAACGCTGGATTGCCAAATCTTGATGCGGAGTTTTCGACTGGCGGAATCGATTTGGCAGTTTTCTCGACTTCGTCAAGAACAGCAAGAACTGCGACAATGCCCTTCTCCCACGGTGTGAAGCAGAAGCGACATGATCTAGAGCTGCGCAGCGCACCTGAGATTGTGGGCAATCCGCGCTGAGAGTGACACCGATAGCAGCTTCATTCAGTTTGGTAATGTATGCCAGAATTTCGTCGTGAGTCTGACAAGTCTGAAAGTACTCTAGCTGTGCGGGCGTGATGATCTCTTTTGTTGGGATCCGGAGAGAAGATGCAGAATCGGATGCCGGAGAGGTAGCCATTTGATGAAAATGGGGTTAATGCCTTCGTGAAGAACAGACACTGTGTGTCTTGCGTAGAAATCGGGTTGACGATGCTGGCGGGGAGGACCAGATTACAGAGTGAGGCTGTGTCGATCACGCAACACACTCTCTGTTCACGACCATGACCACACCCGAAGTCTCTGGCAAAGAAAAAGGAAGAGTTATAGATCCAGACACCAACACAATACGAATCACCACGAGCGGTAAAATCAAGGGATGGGTCAATCACGCGCTCGTGTTCTTTGAGGTCTCCATTCTTCGCCGTTCCCACCTCTGCATGTCTTGTTCACTTTGTCGACGGTCAATCCTCAGAACCACGAAAGCACACCTCTGGTTCTTCATACGCTTCCTTCCGCTCCAAAAAGTGTCACGACAGACGAAGTTCCAACGGGAACCGCAAAATCCATTCCCGAACGCAATGCAAGCAAGCTCCCCGTCCCGACTTCAACCGTACCGCGCCTACTCACGGTGGTGGAAATCATCAAACGCGAATATCTAAAGAACCTGGAGGCAAAGTCGTCCGCTCTTCTACTCGGATTGCACCAATACAACGAGATCGGTGTGCTGGCTGGGCCCGAGGAGGAAGGGGAGTTGGTCGAGGAGGCCGACGCACGTCGGTCACGCGAGATCATTGCTGTCCTCGAGGGAAAGAATCAGTGAGTCCTTGCTTCTGCTGATGACCTCACGTATGAATTAGGACTGTAGTGTACAGGACAAGCCCCGTATTCCCTACATGCGAATAACGCTTTGCCGAGAGAAGTTACCTCATCTGGAGCTTGCTGCGACGTCAGTACCTTTGTATCCCCACCCAATCTCGGACTTGCTCATCCTTGCACAGGTATCAGCCGCCCTCAGTTAGAAAGATATCGAAATCTGCTAAAGCACGAGCTAGAAAACGCGAGAAGAAGGCTGAGCAAGACGGAGTGGCTGATCAGAGTCCGAGAAGGTAACAGCATACCTCTGTGCAATGTATACCAAGGGGCTGTGTGGTACGAGCTGAATATGCTGTTTACGAGTCTTCCAATGCCTCCGAGGACAATCTACGCAGGACTGGTCCAGACGTCATACTCCCGGTGTGTGAATTCTCATCGAGCACGGTCAACCAGAGCAGCCCGGCCATCCAAAACCCCGAGAGAGGACTGAGTAAACCCGCCACTAATCGCGGAATGAACCAACGCAAGCTACGCAGTGCCTAGTGACTTCCTGCGCCTTGCTCGTGAGCGTCATGAGCGAAGTGTCGAAGAATGGGTTACTAGCGTCTGTTATCAACTTGTGGCGAAACTTCCGAGATAAGCAGTGGTTCGTCGGGCTTACTCCTGTCGCAGCTCGCACAAGCGGTACTTGGTACTTCTCATCGTCAATATGCAACGCGAGAGGCATGCCGCTCAACGGCTTCAGTAAACTTTGCTTTCGAAATGACCTCGAGGTGCACCCATTGGCTGATTTGACTCTCAACACATCCATCCTTGGGCGGAGTTTTGCGACTTGAAAGCGGGCAGGACCTACCAGGTCACACAAGTTGAACAAACAACCTGATTCTTGCTATGTACACCGGGAAAGGTTCTGTGAGCTCGGGGAGCTGAAAGCACGCGAAAGGTGGTTGGCTGGTCAGTGCTGCTTCTTGGTTGCCCGTCGTTATGCGCTCCGGCTGCGATACTCTCCGGATTGGATACCGTCTTGTAAGCTCGAGAACAGGGACATATGCCCGCCGCATCTCGAGGACTACGCCTGCTGCGACACGGTAAGTCGTTTCTCCGGAGCATCCCATCGACTGCAGAGCCGAACGAAATCTAGAGCAAGGTTCTCGACGTAGTGCGAATCAAGGATGGCGTGAAAGTGGTGCTCAAGCGCATGAACACACGCGAGCCGGAGCTTCTTATGCACAAAACGTTCGGTCAGGAACTTTTGAAACAAGAACCCGGCGAGACGAACTGAACTGTGCTTGTGCTGGACCTCATACCTGTCGCAGACGACGACGAAATAGCTATCATCGTCATGCATTTCCTGCATGCATTCGACAGGTTGTTCTTCAAACACTTTGTGGAGCTTTTAGACCCATTCTATTAAATCTAACATGTGAGCACTCCCGTCGTGGATTGTTTTCTGACCGTCGGTATTTTGTTTACAGGGCTTAAATTTCATCCATTCGCAACTGAAGTATTGGTCGCGGGTAGCGACGATTCATACGCCTTCTGATACCTGATAGTCTCACCTTCCGTTCCCAGTGACATTTGCCGTAGTACTTCAGAAGACCTCAAAGAAATTCACTATAGAATTGAAAAATTGATGTCCGTGTTGTTTTGGTGAGTTTTTTTGCGTGTCATGAATCCTGTCCCAGCACTGCGACGATGAAGACACGTGCACGAAGACCCCCGCGCGGTGCAGTGCACGAGTTCGAGTTCGAGTCCAAGTCAGTGTAAGGAAAATATTTTATTTGTTCGATGAATTTCGTTCGTTTCCAATTGTAGAGCAACATATAAGGCCCTGTTCGGGAATCACAGGTAACCTCCAGGTAGTTCCTGTACGCGCCAAATCTTTGATGTACAGGATATAGATTTCAGCGATCAAAATGTAGCTACCTGTAGAATTGAAGAGTGTTCGGCTGGGCTTTTCGTACCTGTACAGCTAGCAAAAGGGGGATCAGACCCATGTCACGCCCATCACTAGCGCACTATAGCTTGCTCTCCTCTCTTCCTTCCATCCGTCCCCGTGCGCCATGGCACCTTGTGCAGCCAAGGAGAATCAGGCTCCACCAACGACATCGCTGGCGACGCCTGTCAAACCTGTCAAATCCGAGTCTACCACTGGTGGAAAGAAGCGTGCTAAATGGAATGCGTTCACGGTGAACATTCTGCTCGCAACGCTGAATGCACAAAGGCTTGCTGGGAACGCAACGGACAATGCAGGGTGGAAGGAGGATGTGTACACGGAGTGTGAGATCGCTCTCAGAGGTACGGAGCAGGTATCCGGTGGAGTGCCAAAAGATGCAAAGATGTGCCATACAAAGTGGACCTCGGTACGTACCACCACCAGGTTACCTGCGCAACCTCACATATATGGTCTCCAGGAGAAGGCGGACTATATAGCAGTCAAGACCCTTTGGTCCAAGTCGGGCTGGGGATGGAATGGCACCTTGGGCTTAATAGAGGTTGAGGACGCTGTGTGGGAGGAGTACAAAAAGGTATGTGTAGGCAATGTACCCTTTCTGGCGTGTCTTGCTTTCTGATCGTGTCCAAGTCCGCCCCCCCTGCTATGCACAAGTGGAGAACGACACCATATCTCCACTACAACAAGATGGCTGTATTGGTGGATGGTGCAACAGCAACAGGAGAGCACTCTTTTGTCCCGGGCCAGACACCTCCACCAGCACCAACAGAGGTCTTCAAAATCGACGAGGAGCCCATCACGGCCGACAATGGGGACCAGGGTTTAGCATGGCAGGTTCCTGCAACCCCTCGGGCGTCACTCAGCACGAGCACACTGGACTTGACAGAGGACGAAGTCAAGCCTACTGACACTAAGTCTGAGGTAATGTCTCGACTCTCGTGCTCCTCTCCACTTGTTTATGCACGCACTGATCCATCTACCGTCAGGTGAAATCCAAGAAACGCTTCTGTGCCATGTCGGACTCTCCCGAGCCCTCCCCGTCATTGAAGAAACATCAAGGTAGTCATCACCGCGATCGCAGTGGTGGTAACCAACACGTTTGTAAGATGAGTACTGGCAGTGCTATGCTGTTGATCTCAGATGGCATCTCGGAAGTTGTGCAGGCTCTTGTTCAGCAGGTTGGCCCTACCTCCCCCCAGCGTTGAACAAAGGCCATACCTGTCCTGGATGATCTTGACTTGACAGAGGCGGAGCACGTTAAAGCGCTGCAGCTCATTTGCTCAAATACAAGCTTTGCTGATATGATATTGGGTCTTTCGACAAATCTCCGTGTTCTAAAGCCATTCATTATTGCCCAGATTGCTTCCAACTGATTACCAATGTTCTGATACATTCACCATAGTACTTGATTCATTTTAATCCTAGTAATTTTTATTCACTATTGCTACTGCCACTGGCAATATATTGACTCCACATTGCTTCTGCAATGCTATCTTGGAAGGCAGCTGCTCTGTTGCGTTCTTGGGTGTCCACGAATCGGCCAAGTTCCTCTTCAGGGAAATCACGGTGTTCATCACCATCCACTTCAGACAGCGTGAACAACTCATGGCAAGGTCCGCTAGATCCAGGCCCGTTGTCAGCATAATCATCAGGATCATGTAATCGGATGAAGTTGTGGAGAGCAGCAAGTGCACATGGGATCTTTGCTTGTGTTTCCATGTGTCAGGGGAACCCCCGCTTCGGACCACTCTGCCTTCGATCAGGCATGTGATTGCGCTCGCGTGACCTGTCAGCTGTCACGTGCCGCGGCCCGGACTGCCGCGCCGAGCGCTTCTCCTTGATGGGCACATGGTCAGGTGCCCCATTGTTCCTATTGTCCCCGCTCCCATTGTTCTGTCATGGCCGTTGTACTTATTGTCCCCATTGTTCTTTGTTTGTTGCTGCGCGCCCCATTGTTCTTGTATCATATAAATAGTGGCGCCTGGCAAGGAGAATCCCCAACACGGTTTCTCTTTGGATTCTCCCTTGCCAGAACTCTGAGATCGGGTCTCGAGGTTGCCCTTACACCATGCTATACTCTGGAGCCACGTTCATGAGACGGAACCGTCGCTTGATCACTCCAAAGATGCGTTCAATCACATTGCGTAGGCAGGCGTGACGAAGATTGAACAGTTCCTTGGCATTCTTGGGACTGTATTGTGTGTAAATGAGCACTGCGGAACACGGATGGTGTCCAAAGGACTGACTTGAGATTTGAGGCCCTTCGCCACTCATTCAGATGGTAGCAAACACCATGGTATGGTACCAGAAGTGCATCACAAACTGGGAAGCCAGCATCACCAAGATAGTAGTAACCCGGTGGTATTGCAAAGCCTTTGCGTCGTGCATCAGCAAAGACACGACCGTCTGCTGCACTTCCCTCCCAGCCTGTAAGCAGATAGCAGAAGATCTGATTGAACCGGCAGGCTGCAAAAGTGTTCTGAGAAATGAGCCCTTTGCGGCTTCGGAAGCGAGCCATGTCTGCAGCTGCCACAAAACCATGCAGGAGTGTGCTGTCTACAGCTCCGAGGCATTTTATAAAGAAAGGGTAGAATTCCGGGCTGTTCTTGATCTCTGGTGGGATTATTCCTGCACTGGGAAGCTTCACATATCGTCCATAGAAGTCCCGGCTGACAAGCATGTTGAGGATGCGATGGAAGGATCTGAAAGCATCAGAGGATATTGTGCTGTGATATTTGAAGCCTCTCACTTTGAAATTGTTTCTCCACTGCGCTGAAACCGCTCTTGATGCTCTCGATTACCTATACCAGTCACCGCAATGCGTAGAAAGATTGCCAATTGCTCCTCACGTGATACATGCTTTGTTGCTCGTAGACCGCAATGAGTTGTCAGTGCCAACAGCAAACGCTTGAAAATGCCTTTGGACATTCCCATGGCACGTTTGAAGCGGTCCCTGTGACCTGCAAGTCAAACACATCACAGTATGATCAGTCCCAGTGTATTCAGTGCAGCAGAGATCAAGTTGTGACATACCTACTAGCAGTTCATCAACCCATTTCTGCCCAGTTTGAGGTGATGTATGCATTGCCTACTTCTCCGATGATGCTGCTGCAATCACTGTTGCAGCTGCTCCAAGACAAACAACAAATGCTGATACACGCTGAATGCGGTCACGGTGTTCAACATGGAGTGCTTTCTTTTGTTTTGAAGGGGGTTCCAGACGGTGGCTGACCATCCTGAGGATGCAGCAGGGAGGGGGGAGAGAAGAGGAATTTGTAGATTATGCTCATGCAATATGTCTGATAATGTGCATATAGCAATGTCAGGGGAACCCCCTCTTCTCGAGGTTGCCCTTACAAGCAATCTCAATCACATCTCGTCACAGTTGATAACGCTGGGGAACAACAGCCTGAAACCGTACCTGTAAATTACATAGCCACACTACAGCTATCAACGGTTTCGCCGATCCTGTACAGCTAGCTAGATTTTCATCAGGAACTACCTGTGATTCCCGAACAGGGCCCAACTAAGGTAGGCCGCATGGACAATCCACTCACATCACATGACAAAGTGTTATTTCCACAAAATTCTTAATGGCCGCAAGATGTGATCTTAATTTAGAAATCTAGTTGCACAGAAGTGTAGCTAATGGTTCATTGAAAAACCTAGTGCAGGCAGATTTGCAAGAAAACCATGTTTGTGAAGGCTATTAGCTAAATACCGGCCAAATCACCCAATCCCACCATCCCCACCCCACCCAAGTCACACTATGTAACACCACATGACATGGGTAGATTGTCCATGCAGTCTACCTTACAGAAGGAACATTGTAAATTTATCAGTGTCTGCATATATGCTCTGCCTCTTACACTGTTGATTGAACCACTCAATCTCACCACTGGCCTTTTCAACAGACTCAATGACAGGAGAAATGACCAAACCTGTAGGAGTGGGACCAACCCAGGTCCCACTGGAGCTTGTCTAAGGCATGTGTGCTTGGCTATGAGTCCCACTGCTTTTGGTTCCATTGGATCAACCAGTGACAATTGTCATCTGCAGGCAGTAGACCAGCGGAACAGATGGACAGCCTTCATGTGAGGTTAATTTCACAATACACAGGGTGGATTGTATTCATTTTTGCTCTATGGGCACTCAACTTGGGTCAGACGTCTGTCAATTTGAGTCAAAAATTGAAGATTTTTGTCAGGGTACGCCATGCTCCTTGGGCACGTGACCATGCACATGACCCACTGCGCCCTCTCTGCCGACCCGTGCCTACTCACCTGTCAATCACCCAGCCTCCTCCTCCTCCTTTGATCCCCACTTCCATCCATGCCAACGTCTGCCCTCTTCCTCCTTCTCCCAGCCATCTCCTTCAAATTCCCGCAAGTGGTCTAGACAAGCCCAATTTCTTGCACCAGGGAGTGCTACCGCCATATGCACTCCTCCCCCTCTACTTTGGCCTTCTTCCCACGGATGTGGTCTACTGCTGTACAGGCTCATACCAGATGCCCTTGTGCTCATCCGCACCACCCCTCTTCCCAGTCAGGCATTGGTCCTTGCCTCCAATGTCTCCACTGGCCAGCCCAGCACTGGCCTGGCCACTGGGCTCCTTGTGACAATCAACAAGAAATAATATCGAAAAGAGAAGTCAATTTGAAGACTGGAGAATACAACCAGGTAGCTACAGTATTTATACCCAAATCCAGTCTGAGTCATATCTACAACTAATGAGTCATAAGGCTATGTACTGCATTGTGATAATCAACAAGAAATAATGTCGAAAAGAGAACTGAATTCGAAGACTGGAGAATACAACCAAGTAGCTACAGTATTTATACCCAAATCCAGTCTGAGTCATATCTACAACTAATGAGTCATAGGGCTATGTACCACATGGAACGCTGGTCATGGGTTGTAGTAGAACCTTCCGGAGCATATGTCGCGCAGCCTTGAATCGATAAAGATGACCCCTGTCCCCCAAGCCCGGACCGTCAGATGCCGTGATCCGTGATAAGATGATCCGTGTCGAGATAAGATGAGATCGTCGAGGATAAGATGAAAAAGAGTCGAATTATGACATTACCCCCTCTCTAGGGTCGATGTCCTCATTGACTAGGTAAATGGGCGTGAAGACATTCTCGTAGGGATCGAAGAGTTGTCGCTGGGGATATGGAAGGCGCTCGTCCTTGGGTTTGTAGCGATGGATGAGGTAATCCCAGTGTCCAGCTTCGAGCGTTGGCAGGAGGCGAATGCGTGTGTCTGGGTTGGATTGTTTCCTCTGCCAATCTCTCAGGATCTTCTTTGCGTGGGTAAGGTGACGTGATGGTTCCCAAGTATTTTCGCTATGCGGCCAGCCCTTCCATTTGACCAAGTACTGTTTTCCTCGGCCGACGTTTCGCTCTTTCACGATCTCTTCGACCTCCCACTCCTCTGCTCCTCCGATCATCTTGGCTACGGGTCTCTTCTCTCGGCGGTGGGGGGGTGGTTCGTGATATGGTGTCAATAGTGACTTGTTGAACACCGGGTGTCTTCGGTCCGTGTCCGGCAAATCCAGCTTCCATGCGGCCGCTCCAACCTTCTCCAGTATCTCGTATGGTCCTAATCTCTTGTCGCTCATCTTCTTTGATGGTCTATCCGTCTCGATATTTTCCCCTTCTATGTACACCTTCATCCCAACCTTCAACTCCGGAACTTCTTTTCTTTGTTTATCGTAGTATTTTTTCATTTTTTCTTTTGCTTTTTCCAATGCTGCTTTTGCTTCGTCTTGTATTTCTTTGATTCTTTTTACAAACTCCTCCGCTGACTCGTTCCTTGACTCCATCCGCTGCTCCACTCCCTTCCATGGGTGATATCCGTGATTGGCGTAAAACGGTGATATTTTGGTAGACGTGTTCATCTTGTCGTTGTATGCGAACTCTGCCATTCCCAGCCATTCCGACCAGTCCGTCTGATGGTAATTGACGTAGATGCGGAGATAGTGCTCGATCTCCTGATTCATGCGTTCCGTTTGTCCATCTGTGATCGGGTGATATGCGGTCCCCGGATTCATTTCCACGCCCAACATCCGATTTGTCTCCCTCATGAAGCCCTTGATGTAACGCGAATCCCTGTTGGTGATGATCTTGCGGGGGATCCCGTGGTAGCGGAAGACTCGGTCCCTGGTTAATCGTGCGACTCCTTCACTGCTGATGTCAGTACTGATTGGTTCGACATGGATCATTTTGGTGAAGGTGTCACACCACACATGAATTGCGTCATACCCGTTACTGACCGGTAGGGGTCCGATTTGATCCATGGAGATGATTTCCCACGGCGCATTTGGGACTGCATGTGGGTGCAGAGTCCCTGTCCTTGCTCTCCTGGTCTTGGTCCGCTGGCACGCCTCGCACGTCTGGATGTATTTCCGGATTTGGTTCCCCATCCTTGGCCACCAGTAGTTCCTTTCCACCATTTCCTGCGTTCGATTGATCCCCGCATGTCCGACCAAGGGTGTGTCGTGGTGTAGCCCGATGATCTTGTCTCGTAGTTCCTCGTCCCTCGGTACGTAGAGCTTCCCGTGGTATGTGATGAGCCCGTCTTCCTTTTTCCATCCAGCGAGTGACTTCTCCAAGGCCGCCTTGACGCTTCCATCAATCGATCAAGTTGCCTTGATCTCATCAACTAGCTGCTGATCTTGTCCCTCGAATGTGACGTCTTGTGATCGGAAGAACTCGGGCTTCAGTAGGGTGACATCCTTGTTGTCATTCTTGCCCTGATCGTGATCCGCTCGTCAAGATAAGAGATCCGCCTTGCGGTTGAGTGCGCCGGGCCGGTGTCGCAAGGTGAAATCAAACTCCGCCAACTCCGTGATCCATCGTGCTTGCCGTCGATTGAGCTTCTGCGGCTTCCGAAAGTACTCGAGATTCTGATGATCGGTGAAGATCTCGAACGTTTCCGTGGCTCCCAGGAGCAACTGCCTCCATTCGTCAAGCGATAACATGATGGCAAGCATTTCCTTGTCGTAGATCTCATAATTTCGCTCGGTTTCGGTCAATGCATGCGAAATAAATGCGATTGGGCGCCAAATGCCGTCTTGGTTTTGGCTCAAAACGGATCCTGTTGCCCCTTCTGAAGCATCGGCTTCCAGACGAGATTGGCCGGTGTCATTTGGCAGTGCTAAGACCGCATCCTCCGCGATTCTCTTCTTCAACCCATCAAATGCTGCACGCTCGTCCGTACCCCATGACCATCCTGCCTTCCCTGTCAGCCGAGTCAACGGCTTGGCAACCTCCGCGTATCCCCGGACAAAGCGTCGATAGAAGTTTGTGAACCCTAGAAATGCTTGGACTTGTTTGACGCTCTTTGGTTCCGGCCATTCCATCACGCCCTTGATCTTGACTCGAATTGTGTCCAATAATTACACCCAAATATTCGATTTCCGTGCGTTCGAACTCGCACTTTTCGGGCTTCAGGTATAGCTTATGTTTCTGGAGCAATTCGAGCACTCGTTTTGTGATCCGCCGATGTTCGTCCAAGTTCTCTGTGAAGATCAGTATATTGTCCAGATAGACTACCACGTGACCCTCGTTGATCAACTCTCGGAGTATGTCGTTCATCATGTTTTGGAACGTTGCCGGAGAATTCGTGAGACCAAAGAACATAACTAAGGGCTCGTACAGCCCTCGGTTCGTGCGGAATGCAGCCTTCCACTCGTCGCCCTCTTTGATCCGTACATTGTTATATCCCCACCGGATGTCGAGCTTGGTGAAGAACTTTGCGCCGCATAGATTATGGACCAGTTCGGAGATCAGCGGTAGCGGGTATCGATTCCGGATTGTCATCTCATTCAGCTTCCGATAATCTTGGACGGGGCGTAGCGCACCATCCTTCTTCTTGACAAAGAAGAATGCTGATGCCATGGGTGATTTTGATGGCCTGATCCGTCC